ATTGTTAAACAACGGGATTAAATATCTAAACCCAAAAGCGGCCGAGCACTGGCAGAAACTCAACGTCCCGTTCAGACGTCTGTTTGCATTCCTTCATGAATTATTAACCCGAGATCCACGCCTAATGCTCAGCTGCTATACATTTTGTCCCACCAGTGGACAGCAGCTACAACCAAGTTCTGTGTACCTTTAAGTGTCCATTTTGCAATTTGCATTTGGATTACGGGGCTCTATAGCACTGACACCCAGTTTCCCCATTACCTTGCTACATCCCTGTCTAATCCCGAGGATTTGGCTCTCCATTTCCCTCAATGCTTAGTGGTTTAACCCTCTCCAGCTTTATGGCAGCTTGAACACGGAAATCCTTTCATTCATGTCTGGGAAAGATGGGGATTAACTGGTTTTGCAAATTAATGACCAAACCTGTACATGCATCTTGTTTTCATTTCCAAAATTGTGTGTTTGTCATTGAATTATCTCACAATGAAATGTGATGTTTGCAGTAGTTTGTTTAGTTCCACCCCGCTGCCGTTTCCCAGACAGTAATGAGAACATGTCAGGGAACTACATGTTTGTGTGTCTCATCCCGCAGGGAGCTGAAAGCAGCAGGGGCGATCACTATAGAGATTCCAACCAAAGCCTGCGTGGGGCAGGAGAACGCAGTCCGCTCATTGGAGCACGTGCAGGTGGAGGCCAGCATCGAATACACTAGGAGAGGGGACCTGCACATAACACTCACCTCCCCAGCCGGTTAGAGATGTGCACACACACACACACTCACACAGACATTTGAGTGAAATAACCAAAGTTCGCAGATGATCTAACTTTTTGGATTTTCCCCTCAGGCACCAGTACAGTCCTGCTGGCTGAGCGAGAGAGGGACACGTCTTCTAATGGCTTCAGAAACTGGGACTTTATGTCCGTCCACACATGGGGAGAAGATCCTGCTGGTACTTGGACCATAAAGATCACAGATACTGTGAGTTACAGAGGAATCATATTTGGCTTGTTTGTATAACTCCTGAGCTTCTGTTTCCTGAGTTCTTGCTGAGATCTAACAAACATTATCTCCCCTCAAAGTCGGGCCGCATGCAGAACGAGGGTCGAATTTTGGACTGGAAGCTGATTCTTCACGGGACGTCGGAGAAGCCGGAGCACATGAAGAAACCTCGAGTGTACATTCCCTACAACGCTGTACAGAACGACCGCCGGGGTGTGGAACACATGGATGACATGATGGAGGCAAGTACAAACACGGTTAAGATGTAGAGGAAAGGAACAGCTGTTATATCCCTCAGCGTGCCATGAAGCTACAAACCGATGCTAATGTTCAGTGTGCTAACGTGCAGATGTTTTGCAGATATAATGATGACTATGTTCACCATCTTAGTTTGGCATTGTTAGCATGCTCGCCAATTTGCATAAATCACAAAGTACAGCCGAGAGTGATGGGAATGTCATTGGCATATGCATATTATTTATAGCTTTTTATTATGTGCTCTCCAGGATACTTGAAATCAAACAGTGACTATGAGGTTTAAGTGTCGACTTTCAGTTTAAATTTGAGAGTGTTTACGTCCATATTTCGTGAGCAGTGTAGAAATTGCAGCACTTATCACAATCACAGTCATTGTTTACTTTTAGATCGATTGGACTAGAGAGCCAAAGAAATAGATCACTGCTCAGGCACTTTGGGATTGTATTGATTTTTTAAGTAAATATTATAAAAATGTAATATGATACAACAAACAGATTATGTTGTCTTTGTATAGATTTATGGATCATTTTTATCTCTTGCGTCACACACCATTAACATGTCTCCTCTCTGTCTGTCTGGTTGACACAGAAGCCCACACAGGCCTATCCACCTCCAAAGACTGAGACTGCACGAGCCTCCTCTCCTTCCGACCCAGAGAAGGAGCCCAAAAAGCCCTCAAATCCACCCTCCTCCCCCTCCCTGGCCCTGCTGCGTCTCCTTCAGACGGCCTTCAACAGGCAGACCCCCGCCCTGCAGCAGCCACAGTCTGTAGCCAGGGCCTCCTCCGCCTGGAGGAAGCAGCAGCAGCAGCCGGGCCGGAGCCTCTCTCCTCCTGCGACAAGACTCCCCCCTCAGACGCTATACCAGGCTCTGGACATGATCAACAAGTACCAAGGCCCCGAGGACAGTGTCTACAGCGACTACAGCGATGGCTTCTACAGCATCAAGCCGTACAGGCACAGAGATGACCGACTGCTGCAGGCCCTGTTTGAGATGATAGATGAGAAGCGCAAGTGAAGGCCCGGAGAGGACAGGAGAGAGGAGACGAAGAGAGGAGACGAGAGGAGAGATTTAAGATTGGGGGAAGCGTGGCAATGGGTTGGTTGGGGAGCAGCAGAGGAGGAGGCAAAGAGAAGAGAGAAGCAGAGGGATCTGGCGTTGGAGGTGTGGAAGAGAAGAGAAGAAATACAGGAAAGAGAACTCTTCCACTCAGTTCTCTACCCCCCCCCCCCCCCCCCCCCCCCCCCCCCAAACGAAATGCTGCATATCTGATCTCTTTAACGTCATTTGCCAATCACCGTTCATTCATTGATTCTGTCATTAAGTCCTGCAAAATTCCCAGTCCACCCGTGATTCAAAACTCAAAGCTACAAACTGTACCTCCATGTAGTGACAGTCTAAGCATTTAATCATAAGAAAGGAGGGGGAGGCCGTGTGTCTCTTCTCTTTACTGCCTGCTCAAGCATGCCACCTTTAGAATATATACATTTTGTATTACTATCTATATATTATCTATATATTCTACAAAGACAATGATTGTAATATGGTTTTGACAACAATTCACATCTAAAATGTTCACTTTCAAAAATCCTTTTTGTTTCTATTTCTATTTTCATGTCTACACAGTTTTATTTTCAACGTGTTTCACACTATTATGGGACAACTTCTCACCTTCAGAGGACAGATTGATCCTTAAAAAACTGACATAAAGTCATGAAATTAGAGTCAGCATACATTCAAAATGAAACAAAATTTTGAATCGATTGGCAATTCGAAAGGTTTGAACTGTGTTGACAAAAGATTAATTCTCAGGGTGTCAACAAAGCTCAAGAGAGTAGGAGAATCATATTCTGGAAGTATTAAGATAAATATATAGAGTGTGCAAGATTATATACTCTAAAAGTATGCAGATTCAAAAAGAGAAAACATAACCATCCTCTACTCTGGTAAGAATTAGGGACAGATGGAGTCTTTCAGTTGGAGTAGCGATACATTCAAAATGGAAAAAAAAGAATCTTCTTGTGCTATTTGTTTAATTTTGTATAAGTACAATGCTGCATTAAATGAAATATTTTTCTAAGGATCCTCATAGTTTATGGAAATAATATATACAGTATCAAACCCTTCTCTTTTCTTGTGGCATGGTTCACTCAATAGCTGCACTACACTACAAATGAGTGTAGCTATCATAACTACAAATGAACACTGCCAAAATCTTTGCTGTCAAAAAGCTTCCGTGTATTTCAGTGGATGTACGAATGGCTAAAATGTTGTTTGTTGATCCTCTGCAATATGCCAACTACAAACAGTTCTTTGAATCCTGGAAAGATTATTGCATTAATATTACTTCTCTGGTATTATGTATTTGATATTAATGGACCTCTCACATGTCCATCAACTCTGTAGAATAGGGGCTCTGCACTGCAACCTTCGAACACACTCATCTTGAACGCCTTAATATATGCTGTAATAAATTTGCATACTCATCTCCACACGGTGTCGATCAATTTATAGATGCTATTGTAAGTGTTTCTGACATGAATAGTTATGGATCTTCTATGCAGAGTCTCTATCCTCCAGCTTGGAACTGCCTGCCCCGCTTCTCTGCCAACAAGGTGACAGGAAATAGAAGATGTTTGGGACAACGCTTCACCCTGTAATCTATCCACTCTTTAGTGTAGCCCGTGCTGTTTTCTTTATGTTTTTGTTTTCGACTGACGCTTCAGTCCAAAGTTGTTTACACAAACCAATATTATGTTGCAATTTCTGTATGGATATACAAAATAATGAGATTTATCGTAATAAACTGCAAAGTGACCCCTTGAGTCTGTTTGAGTCTCTGGCAGCAGGAGGGGGCGTCAGGTGTGTCTAAAGTGACAACCTGTAGTAGATAAATGAGAATATAGGGCGAGGGAATCTAATGTATTAAATATGTGGTTCTCACGGGACAGCGACATACAATAAGTATCTTAACTTTCCATACTACATACTACATAATACATAGTTTTACTTTCTAAATGCAGGACTTGTACTTAGTGGAGTATTGTCACTGTGTGGTTTTATTGCTTTGACTTAAGTAAAGGATCTGAACACTTGTTCCACCACTGATTGATTGTGAGTATGTTGTCATGCTGCTGTTAACATGGTTGTATACTTGATTAAATATGCATACCGGCCTTTTCAAATTTGAAATTTTGAATCGTTGCCAAGCTTAAAAAGGGATTTTATCATTCGGCCATATGGCCCAGCCCTAATGAGACACAGTTGCTGTTAAATAATGAAACACAACACTCACAGTCCAACACATAATAAATGTCTTTACGTTGAGTTCAGCAACTATGATCAGGATCCCTTTCAGGGCTTTGAATTAATAAAAGGTCTTTGACGCTATTTCCCACATTCAACATCATTATAGAATCATAGCTCGATAATAGATATTAGATAAAGTATGCTGTCTCCTGATGTTTTCTCTTGATTGTCCTCCACTGTATTTCCTATTGAGTGCCTCCACCTTGTGGACAGAAACAATGGTAGAATTCTTGGTAGAATTCTATTCTACCAAGTCTTCTCCTCCACTCCTCGGCTCCTCCCATCAGCCCAGATTCCCCACGCATCTGGTTGCTTTGGTTTTTCTCCAAAACTGAATACTGCAAACGCCTGAGGAGGAAAGAGAGGAAGGGGGGGAATGGGTAGGGGGGGGGGGGAGAGCGAGAGAAAGAAAATATGTGAAGAGAAGGGAGTGGAAAGTATTCTAATAGCAAGGACAAGAGAGTGAAAGAGGAAGCAAGGAAAGAAAATGATCATTGGTGGAATAAAGTGAGTTAAACAGCACATGTCCAGGAGGAGACAGAGTGGGCAGAGGAGAACCAGAGAGGGAGCGAAAAGCAGAATTATTTTTGCCAAAAATAGCGGCCTCAGACAAAGGTTTGTGTGTTTATCCACCAGCAGGTCAAAATATGGCGCTTTTCCCATTCTGCAAGACGCCCGCAGGTCAGTAAAAACCTCAGCCACTGCTCCACCTCTTCTGCTCGTGTCACATCTGCTTGTTTTCCCCCCTCACCTGTCATTGATCTGTGACTGCTGTATGTGTACATGCTCAGTTAAAACACCAAAGCTTTTTAGAGCTTTTCTCAGATGATGTGAAGGATGTGTAATCTGATCCTGAAAATGTGTCCAGGAAGGCAAAATAAGTCCTTGATTGATTCAAGACTTTGAGTACATTTGTCCCAAATCTCTTGGCTGGTGAAAGAGCATGCAGGAATGTATGTGGAGAACACGAAGATAACATCTACATGGACTCGCATGTGCTTCTACTGAAGTTCTATCTCATGCAACGTGGAACTTGTGATTCAGTACCGATCTCTTCTCAGCCCAGTCTGGCTTCTGCTATACGGTCTTTGCTCAGCCTCACATGCACAGTTTCAGATGACATCGTCTTACTGTGTATCCCACTTGTCACTGCTCGTTCATTTGCGTATACATATTGCATATGCTTTAAAGATTTAATTATTTGGGCAATCACGGGTTGCTACACTTCCAAAAGGGGGGATATTTCGGTATCAGCACATTCTTTTCATTCCATGAGCTTTGGTCTTTTCTACCTGTCGGATTTAAAGGAACATTTGTAAGAAAATGCACTTACAGGAAAAGCATGTATCAACTTGTACCGGTTTCATTTACATGTGTATGTTTGTCCTTCAAACAGGACCAGTCAGAGTGAGAAGAATACAACTGGTTCTGTACTGTCTTCTCCTGTCTCTTATCATATGTAAGTGTACAGAATAATTTATTCCACTCTAACACTGTGTCGGGACAGTAAATGCACATACAGCTACAAAATATGCTTCTGGCAAAGTGAATGTAAACTTCAACTTTGTTGTTGCATGCTAAGTAGATCCTGTCTCGTCCTGTTGTCGTGATTGTAATAGATTATTAAAAATACGTTGATATTATATATGTATATATATATCGTCAAAATATTCCAAACACAGACATATGGTGAAAGTTAGAAAGTGCTTTGAATAAGGTCAGTTGTGATCATTTGGATTGAACTGGGTGACTTTTCTCCAGCTTAACAAACGTGTACATATATGTACTTCACAAAAAGTGTCACTGGTTGGAGTTGTAATAAAAAGTAAAACCATGTTTTGCCCCTTCAGACTTCCTCAATGGGCGTAAAGCAGCTGTCAGTGTGGAGTCACCTCATCCTATCTTTCATGCCTTGGGAATGGACCGGACCGACATGCCGGTCATCAAGGCAACGGCGCCACAAACTCCTCTGGAGACACCTTGGGGTGCTCCTTTAGTGTGGGGCGACACCCAGAAGTCAGATTGGCACAGGGCTAAATTCGCACAACAGGAAAGCCGTATAGGTCTGCTGGCCCTCGTTGTGGGAACGTATGCCCAGTACGTGCAGCGTTTCCTCTCCTCGGCTGAAATCCACTTCCTCCCCGGTCAGATGGTCACCTACTACATTCTCACAGACAACCCCCGCACCCTGGATCCCCCCATCGATCTGGGCCCTGAACGACAGCTGAAGGTAGTTCCGGTTGCAGAGCTGCCCGGGTGGGAGAGGTTGGCTCGTCGCCGGATGGTCCTGCTTGCTGATGTCATCAAACACCCGATCAGTAGCGAGGTTGAGTACATCTTCTGCGCTGACATCGATCAGGAGTTCGTGGCCCCTGTGGGAGAGGAAATCCTGGGAGACCTGGTGGCCACGTTGCACCCAGAGCTCTACGGGATGCCAAGAAATGCATTTCCTTACGAAATCGAAGAGGTCTCATCAGCTTGCGTGGAGGAGGATGAGGGAGACTACTATTACACCTCTGAGTTGTATGGAGGGTTGGTTTCTGAGATGTACAGTCTGGCTCGAGCCTGTTCTTTGCTTATTCTGCAGGACCAGGCTAACGGGGTAGTGGCCAGGGGCCTTGAGGAGAGCTACTTGAACCGCTACTTGATCGATAACAGGCCCACCTGTGTGCTTTCCCCAGAGTACAGCTGGTGGGACTCAGCCCTGGCTCCTGATGTGCGTGTACAGAGGCTGGTATCCTTGGGAAGGAAATGCGAGGCTTATGATAAGCAGAAAGAGAATCAATGTAAAATGTAGGGTTCTGCTGGCCGAGCCCACTGAAGTATGAATGTAGATCTCACTCCAACATGAAGAACTATTGTTTTCAGTGTTACATTTCCTTTTTGGGGAAGGTCTCAAAAATGAGCAAACAGTGTTATGACAGGACATGGGATGAATTAATACTTCATAATTTCCATTTTGTTTTCTGTTCTATTAGCCAATAACTGTAGCCTGCAATCACACACAAGCAAACTGCACAATCTGCTCTCAATTAAAGACCCATTTGTGTGAACAGTTTGTCTGCGTGCTATCTCTTCCACAGCAGACAAAATAAAGAAAGTGACCTGTCTCTTTAAACGGAGCACTGTGCTCTCCATTAATGTCAGCCTCGGAGATACTGCTCCAGTGGCTTTGTGGTCAACAGCGATAAGAGTCAACAGTGTAAGTGCACACTTTCCCCGCAGTGGCCAATCATTAACTGGAAGAGCTGCTGTTTCAAGGTCCTTAAATACCAGGTGTGGGGGGGGAAGATGGATATAACGGGGTGCTGTTTCTCCAGGTTACAGGAGTTACCAGGTTTACACTTCAGCCAACAGTAAAATAGGTTTGAAATGTGGTGGAACTGGTTCTGGAAGTAATAAAGTTATTTTCATTAAAAAAATGTATATTTTCCCCATTATGTGTTGGAGTAAAAGGTAAACTCAAATGACCTGAAGTTGGTGGTTGTCTGCTTATCTCTTTCTCCCTCCCTCCCACACACAAACACACAAACGCTTGCTCTCACGTTCACACTCTGCTTCTCCTTCTTTTAATGGGAAGGTTAAACAGCAGCAGATGGCTTTTCTCACTGTCAACAGAATCTGCCCTCAGGGACAGATTGCCACGTGGAATTGAAGCTGGAGGTAAACTTCAAATAATCCGTAAAAAAAACTAATTTTCAGTTATGTTTCACCCAAATCTAAATTTCCGCTGCTTGCCACACGGGTGTATTTATGTTGACTCACTATCAGTGCTTTTTGAGTGTTATCTCTCTTAAATAATAATGGTCAAACATGAAGAAAAAGCTCTCCACACATACCTGCCTGTCTGACTGGCAGGAGTTGATTCCAGGCCGTAGGCATCCTACAATATATTATAGACAACACAGGAAATCACTTTAACTTTTAACTTCAAGTATCAACACTATGGGTAAATTTCAGATGGAATATTAATGGAGTAGCCCAAATCACAACTGATTATGATGACACAGTATAACGTGCTTAAATAAACAATAAATAAATGGGAATAAGTAGCAAGAGATTGCTGGTACCAACCGATATGTGAATAACGGGAGTACTAATGAACTGCTTCTTTACATTACATTACATTACAGTCATTTAGAAGACGCTTTTATCCAAAGCGACTTACAATTCAGATTATATCACATTCGTACACGTAGGCACAGCTACGGGAGCAATTTTGGGGTTAAGTGTCTTGCTCAAGGAGACATCGACATGCGACTAGCGGAGCCGGGATGGAACCGCCGATCCTCTGATTGAAGGACGGCCCTGCTCTCCACTTAGCCACGGTCACCCGAGAGACACCCCTGAACACATATCCAGACAGAGAACGGCCAAGTTTAGCATAGTGAAGGATCACCTGGTTAGCAGAAATATAATTCTGTAAATAACCTAGCAACTTTAAATGTAAACCGTCTGATCTAGACACAGTAACAGGCACATCTATCACTGTTACTGATTTCAGGCGCCCGACTCCTGCCCCTAAAACCTGTGCCTTTGATTAGCACTAAAATCTGAGCCTGGCCAAATAATACATCTATCAATGATTAACTTCTTTTGTTATTTAGAAGGATACCCTAGGCATTACACAGAACTGTGAAGAGTAATGTAGGGGGGGAAACTGTAAGTGACAAAAGAGAATGTAACATTTCCTCTGTTTTCAACAAAACGTTAAACAACGAAAAAAGTGCGCTCAGTAGAGTGCAGATCTCTGCAACAGCCACTGCTGTATTGTGTGACGAATGAATGCAACCCACAATTGCCTAACCACGCATTGACACCAATGGCCTGTAAGTCGTCGTAAATTATACTTCCTCCAAATTTAAAAACAAGAGACAATGAATACAGGCAATCGGCTCAAAGGCGTCGTATATGACACGTTATACAATCTTGCCAAAAACCAAATTAAACTCACCAAGCTGTCTTCTATAGAGACCGAAACCTTTTTTTGTACCAGCCTGTAAACATGTGTATGTCTGCTGTAAGGTTGTTCATGTTAACATGGGGGTCTGTAGGGATGAACAAGCTTCAAGTGGATAGTTAAAGAACTGCAGTTTTTTGGCCCTTACGCGTTGGCTTTATTTCTCAGTGCGGGAGGTTGCTGCTTGCAGCTGAGCTGAGAGGTACACAGCAGAGTGTGTACTGGTAGTTCAATTAGCTGTTAGCCAAACAAACAGTACAGTCCATAAGCTGTTAGCCAAACACACCGCAAAAAGTAGAAGATGGGGAGCGTTCGGAGATGCACTCAGCTGTCAGCAGTCAGTATAAGCAGTATGAGACACAGAAAGATGATTTGAGAAGGAGTGAGTCACCACAACCACGAGAGGTACAGCCATGAATGGGAACACAAAATATTGCGTAATTGCTGCATCAGAATGCTAATTAAGCCGTAGACAGAAACTCACTCACTCACGGATGCACATAAGCCACCCATCGCATCATTCGACGGGCGGAGACCATAATAAATGTTTCCACATTTGAAAGCTATTTGTCAGAGGTCAATCTTCATAGCAAACTGGTTACAATTAAGGACTTCCCAGTTCAGTAATCCCTTTGTTTAATGTTAATGCCTCTCACAAAGCGTGAGTCATTTCGAAGTATTCTTTACACTGCGATCTTGGGTTTCCATCAGGTGACACCTTCAGGGCCTCTACAAACACAAAAGCTCTAAAAACCAATGAGTCCTAGCCAACCCAAAGGCGTTATTTGCACAGCAGGCATTCTGTCAGACACACCAGAGCACCTCTGGAATTAACCCAGGTTAGTATTTAAAATCGGCATGTATTCAAACTAAGAAGAAGAAGAAGGTTGACAAAGATTTCAACCCAGTGAATTTTGTTTCAAATTTTACATTCCACACATGCATAAATATTTAAATGGGCTGCATATCTTTGTGGGGCAGTTTAGTTTGAGAAATATTAAGAACTAATTTGGTGATGAGTTAATGTGCAAGAAGTCTGAAATGTGTGTGTGTGTGTGTGTGTGTGTGTGTGTGTATATATATATATATACTGTATATGTGACTCGCCAGGGGGATGGGTGGGGTGTAGAGCTATGGTAATCTGCTGGATTCACACAGGCCTTACCCCACCCTGCCCGAGGCTACTCCACACCAAAACATGCTGCCCTAATCACCGGGTCAAGGGGACTGCCACTAGAGAGATAGTGGAGGTGCAGCTCACAGGGGGACACACTTGTGCCCATTGTGCTGATGTCACATTACATCCCATGTCATTAAAGGGAAGCTCATGAAAGATGATTATAGGGCGACATATAGGCAAAGCGGTGCACGAAGTAGTATGTTCAAAATGTTATAAAGTATAAAGCAAAGTAGTTCAGAATCGTATCGATTTAGATTATGCGGATATTTATTACAATGCCTGCTAAACCGTATTTGATTAAAGTTTAAAGTATAGTCTACAAAAGCTGTTGACAGATTTAGTAGGCTAGAATTAGGTATGACATGTCAGCAAAAACACAGCAGGCAGAGGCAGTTTCGCCAAGAGGTAACTACAGAGAGAGGCTCCGGGCTTACAGAAAAAAGGGAAACTAGATACTGGAATGTTTCTGTTGGCTTTAAAAGATGAAATGTGACAACAGGCTGTCTTGGTTTTGTAAATGGATAGAAAACCCCAATTTGTACGCCTACAAATAAATCATGGTACACTTCTTATGCACAATAATTAAAGCAAGCGGTGAAATAAGTACCAACAACTTTTACTTTAACAAAAAAGTATAAGTAGCAATAACACAGAGTAGAAATACTCTTGCACATGTAAAAGTATAAAGTAACCTACACTAGAAACACTCAAGTAAAGCACAAGTAACTTTGCCCTTTAAATTGTAGTCTATGCAAGTGCAGTAGGATACTTCAATAAATGTTATTAATAACTTTCCACCACAGTGTAAAGAACAAGTATACATGATATAAGCCTACTGTAAGTTCACTGTGGTTGGAAAGTGAAAAACTAACAAGCTAGCAGCAAGTCACGACTAATCCAACACTGTCAGCCCTGTAGGCTGTAGTCCCTCCCCGGGCCAGAGTGGTGAGCACAGAGAGCCTGGGCCGCTAAATGCTCCAGCCTCAAAGGGACGATGGTGGAGGGCTGGTAAAGATGGCGGCGCTCTCCGAGGATGGGAGGTATGGATTGAATTGTGGCCAACAGAGCACAGATAGAGTCACCGTATTACACGTCAAATTGACCGAGACGGCGCTGAGAGCCATAGAGAGCCACCAAAATTGTATGGTGAGTGAAACAGCCGTTTATTTCAGTTAAATTAGCTAGGACTCTCGGGCTGACACAGCTCGTCTCAGCTGGGAAGCCCAACTGCCACGCACAGCTAAAGCTACAAAGTTAGCTAAGCTGTTGACAGGGCGACTTTCTGCTTGTTTTTTTGACTGTATTAGTCTTGTGTCGTTATATTGACCAACTGAATAAAGCACATGAGACCTTGGCCGTGTGCACTGGCCACATTGTACGAATTGACAATTGTTATTTAATTTAGAAAACCTGTTGGTAAAGTTACACTCTTAAGTAGCCAGCGTTAGCTCGAGCTACTTTAGTATGAATCCCCTATCCTATCCTGAGCTGTGCTGTGCTGGTTAGCAAAGTCCATATTTTTCTTTCCAAACTAACATTACTTTTACCTAATTAGGGAAGTGGTGACGGTAATGTCATTACGACGAATGCACTCGTCACCAGACAAGTTTAATTAAACTGAGAGTCAAATGTGAAAGCTTAGATAACCAACATGGGACTTTTATTCGACGAGGTTGAAGCGTTATATGGCAGAGGGTGGTGGACAACAACGGATAAGTTAAGGCTAATTTAACTTTGACTTGATAACGAGCTAGTTAGTGGCGCACGCACCTCGATGACTGGTCAGCTCACCATATGGCTAGAAGTTTTAGCTAGTTGTAAAACGTCACATCACATCCTGGCAATGGTATTACGCCATCTCTTAACAGCAAATTAACTTGTAAAACCAGCTACCACACTGTAGCTACAGTATGTGTACGTTTTGAGTAAGTGCCTCAAAGGCATTAGATAGAACAAATATTTAATTTGAGCTCGTTTGCCAGTTTGTTTAAATCGTTTTTGCATACCCTCAGATACTTCAAGCTGCATGAGAGGAGTTGACCAGCATTTAAAAACGTTATATGGTACCTTTGTCATGTCATTTTGTTAAAAATACAATGTATTCATGTACTTTCTAGCTCTCAACATACTGCCTCATCAAGTGTACTGCATTTCCCCACTGAGCTTGACACCACCAGTGATTATGAGGCTTTTGGAAACTGTGTGAGCTAATGGCTCACTGCATACCTGTGTAGATTAAATATAAATTGTTAATCTTGAACTGTACAAATGCCATAATCTTGTTGAGGTGCTACAAAGGTAAACTAATTTGGACCTCTGCAGTCTTTGGTTGCAGAGGCCTCAAGCCAAGTTACCTGACCTCAAGTCTGCCAACAACAAGGCATTACATAACATACTGACTGGGCCTAGGTCTCTGCTCGGGGCTGATGCACTGTATGGGGCTGTACTGTTCAGAGGTCTCTGTGGCGGCTTTTTATGGTGCGTGTCTGTATGTATGCCGCACACTACACGCACTCCAGTATATGAAACCGTTGCTCACTGTGAGCCCCATATAACGAATAGACATAAGGATCACAATTTAAAATGATTGTTAAGTTAGTTTGAGACAAACTGGGAAACCGAATCATCGGTAAGTCGAAGGAATTCTTTTGTGACGGTCCATGCTACAACCTTATTGGATGTGGTAATGTTGGTCTGTGCGCTGCATTGAACGGCAGCCTGCCATCTCTTGCTGACTGAGCAGCCAAAAACTGCCTGCTTTTTGTTTCTCTCTCTCTCTCTCCCTCTCAGTAATGTGTGTTGTAGCTCAACCAGTCATCGAACTATGGAAGCTGGCTATCTTTGTCTTTCTGTGGTGATGTGAAATGTGATCAGAACTGTGTGTGTGAGGACTGGTTGGTGTGTATGGACAGTGGGGGCAGGGAGTCAGTCAGTCTGGCTTGGAGTACCGTAGCTTTAACCCTGACATGGTTCTTTCAGTCTGAAAAAAAACACACATTAAATCTGAGATTATCTGCTTCTTGTGTCTGGTATGAGTTGGCGAGTATAATTCTACTTTTCAAGAATGCAGAGAAGCTGTTCATAATAAAAGGCAAATTCCTCTGAAACAAATTGATGCAACTTTTTTGGAGGTCTATGATCTAGCCAACTGGCTCCTCAGCTTTGTGAAGAACACATCCTGTGCTTTTCCATCCCGACCTACACAGCATCAGAGCAGCCACGGCATATTTGTGGCCGTCAACTCCATTTCAAGCAGCCGCCGACGCAAACCTCCACAAAGCAAAGACATTTCAAAAATATTTGCTGTATTTGATTGTTGTCTGAGTTCCACTGCTTGTGTTCAGATAACAGTGAACATTTTTACTTTCCACCTACCTCTTAACCACTTAAAAAGAAGATGGAGGTAAAGGTGACTTGCATGGTTTCTCTGTAGAGACCGAGCCCTAATGTTTGCTGACAGTTACCCATTGTTTCTGCAGCCAGGCCACTAGTGCCAGCAATCATTGTTGCTAATTGAATTGTAATCATTTCATTTGTCCTTTTTTTTTTTTTTTTTTTTTTTTTTTTTTTTTTTCTAATGCAAACACACCTAACATTTCCTAACTTATGCTTCTCAATGTGAGGATTTGCTGTTTTGGTTTTTCATGTGATTGTAAACTGAATTATTTAGGTTTAAGACAAAACAAGCAATTGATATCACCTGGGTTTGGAGAATTGTATTTTTTTTTTTTTTTTTTTTTTTTTTTTTTTTTTTTTAAACTACTTTCTGACAATTTACTGACTCCAAAATAATCCATCACTTGATAAAATGATCTGCAGTGTTGATATCAGTGATAAAAATAACCGTTTGCAGCCCTGCATCAAACATACTCTCAATTCGTATTATTGCCATAGCACAATACTGCTAACAGATTCAGTCACATGGAAATGAGATTGTCTGCGTGTTATGTGCATGTCCGTTATTACTTTGCTGTCGGCTGTAGTTTTAACGCTATGTCTAAATGCAACATCTAATAGAAGCTGTATCGTCGGTGGTTTAAAGTATGCTTGGCGTGACAGCACCCCCCCAGGCTCTCCTGTTTTTGGAGTATCAGTCAAATGGCGGGGCATGCTCTGCAGGTTCTAGACTCTGAATGTAGCTCTTTTTTGTTTCCCAATAATCCTTTACATTTCCAAAGTGTTCGTGGGGCTTAAACAGTTGTTTCTCTTCACTTTCAGAATGTACCTTCTTTGCAGCCAACGATACAATTCAAGGGACTCCAAGGGGTAAGTACATCTCCCCCCCCTTTAAGACAAGGGTCACATGAGTGATCGTATTGTGAATACCCGATGTGCAATAAATAGAACCGTAGATCTGTTTTCAGGTTGTAAGAGGGAAGTTTAATTAGGTATCCATTAATTTATTTACACAGTAATTAATCAATTCCTTTATTTACTGTTTTCGCGAGTTGTATTCGTTGAGGCGACCACACGCAAGTGTCTTTGACTCATCTACTCAACTACTGCTCAGTTTACACTTATCTATGTCACCACTATTGCACATTATTAGTATTATTAGTGGGAGTAGGAGTACTAGCAGTACTGTACACAGTATTTCAGTTCAGGTTTCAGGCCCTTGTGAATGACATACTGGTACACTGTTTTGCGTTGCTTGTTAGTCCGCGATGCACATGACTCCCATAAGGCCTCCCCTTAGCTGCTGAGACCTTTCATGCTGGCTCCCTTGTTCAAACATACAGCCTCACAGCTCAGATGTGGCCCCTGCCGCTGTACAATATGTGATGTTGGTTTGGCATATGGCAGTTTCATAGTGATATATTAACGTGTATTTGTTTTCCCCCATCTCATCATTAATGATCTCAAATTCTCAGATGTGAATAGATACTATAACTTGTCGTTCTCCCTTTTTTTTGTGTGTGAATTCTTACAGCGCATTAAATTTCCCAGGACAGATTCCTCCTCAGACACCTTCCACAATTTTGATTTTTACCTGTCTAACGTGGGCAAGGACAACCCTCAGGGAAGCTTTGACTGCATCCAGCAGTATGAGTCGAGGTAATGGTGATCCCTGACCAGCTGAATCAACTGTTACTGTCTTACTACACATTGCTAGAAGGTAATCCCTTTCTGCCTCGCACACATCCTCTCATATTGTCCCTCTTTGTCTCCAGCTCAGGGGCCTCACACCTGGCATTGTTGGGCACGGTACAGGACAAGGTCACGGTGTGTGCCACCAATGACTCCTACCAGGTGACCCGGGAACGCATGACCCAGGCCGCCGAGGACACGCGCGAACGTGGGACCAAAGTCATAAAGCCTGGGGGCCGGTACAGAGGTAAGGCCCCTCACTACAGTCTCGCCTCTGCACGGGCCACAGTCAAAACACCAGCGTAGCTTTACGTCCTATCGACACCTTTCCTCACTTTTCAAACTTGGCCCCTTTTTTGAGGGACTGAAAGCTGATGACCTGAGCCTATTCAAACCCATTACTACAGCTGACTCAGCCATTTTGCCTCAGCCTTCTTCAGATTAGCAGTCTGACTGATAAGGGCCAAAGGTTGCTGTCAAAGCTATTTCTGTTTTATTGACACACAGCCTGCCAAAATTCGACTAAAGTGTCAAAATACAGGCGCTGCTTGTGTTCAGCACCTATCGCATGCGACCAAGCAGAACTTTGCATGTTTCCCGTACACTTGATGAGCATAACTTTCCTGCCAACAGTCCCGGGATTTCAGTCACACAAGCTGAAGAGAAAAAGTAATCTTTTGTAATCTAATTTGGCTCGTCACTCTCTCTAGCCTCATCCCTTTGTCTTATCCAACTCTGAGCAGGTAGGGTTACGGATCTGCAACTAAACAACCTGCTGATGTAATCTCTCGTTTCCTTCCCAGTCTTATTTTCAGCACGGTGATATGATGAATAAAAACTGTGCATGCCAGTAAAGGAAACAACAAAGAAAGACTAGCCTCACTCAACCTCACTCAGCCTCTTATCATGTGAACATGGTCTGTTAATCAAAAGTCTACCAAACCACAGAAGCAACACTGGATGCAAAATATTTAATTTTTATGTCAACCACCACTAGGGATGCAATATTACATAACAAGTTAATAGGTTACTAAACAGATTGGAATTATAGAGCACAAATAAAAATGGACGCACTGTCAGTACTTGTCCAGATAGATGGCTCTAAAGTTTTTCTAGATACTCCATCTAACTGCTCTGTTGCCATTTATATTTATGTATTTGCTCGATTGGTGGGATGAACTAATCAAACAAGTGTCTTTTAAAAAAAAAAAAAAGAAATTCATATATTTTTTTTAAAGCCATTTTTTCAGCTTGAATAGCCCAAACTAGTTTGTAGGAGTTAAGCCTTTGTCAAAGAGTTCCTTGTTTAAATCAGAATCAAAGTCTCGGTCCTCACATTTTGTACATGACATAAAACCTCCTCAGGCCTGTGTTTCTGGGGCCCATGGGAACATTTGCATATAACTGGCCCAGATAGAAACTGGGAAACGAGAGGAGCAGCAGACAAAAGGGGTGGTACAGGAGCTTGAAGCAGCTGGTTTGCAGCGAGCACCCTATTTACTGATGCAAAGGGGGGCTTCTTACTTTCACAGGCTGTTAATTTCAGGCAACAGTCTGTTGTCTTTTTTTTATCTTCCTCTTAACCGGTATCTTGTAATGAGAGCTACACAACTCCTGTCGTCCTGAGATCAGTGGCATTTAATGTTCTATGTGCTACTACTCTTGTTCTGTATAAGTTCTCCATGTACAGACTGATTATTTCAGAAGGAGGAAACTTTGTTCCATAAGCTTTTCACCTGTCATTAGACAACAAGCTTACACCTCCAGCATTGCTCCAAGGCTGCATCCACACTACGACTGTTACATTTTAAAACGCGCTGGTTAAGAGTAGTGAGTAAGGTGTCAGTAGGCAGTCAATTTCAATATAAAACGAGCAATAAAAGGTGTTTTGAGAAAGTGTGAGTAACCGCAAACACAAGAGGTCCTTGAGCATGCAGCCATAACAAGACTCCGAATATTTAGTAGTTCTGCTGCAGCAGAATGTGAGATTAGCTGTGAATTTGGGTTCGATTTGGCCGTTTCAAGATCTCAGGCTATCAAATATTCCTGGTATGTCTCATTCCCTTGCTTTTTAGCGAAACAGTCCTAGTTTTCAAGTATCCTGTGTTTGTGGCCATCTGGAACTAATGGCAGAATGGCTCTACTTTAAGAGTTGTTGAGTGGAATCAAACTCCACACACTTAAGCTCTTATCTTTGTTATCATGATGGGTGGTGATGTTTGCAGGTGCATAAGACTGGCTTCAGTAAGTGAGATGAAGATGGTAGGCAGGAATGCTGTTGAGCAAATGTGTGACAACATAAATACGTGTGATGATGAAGTTCCCTGTGAGGAAAAATAGGCTTTTAAAGTGGTCTTTACTTTCCGTCTCTAGGAAAGCAAGTCCATATCCGCAACCCGGCGCTATCGGGTCAGGACGTGGTCCCAGAGCGCAAGCGCTCCACACCCATCAACCCAGCCAACACTATTCGCAAGTGCCTTTCCAATAACCCCGTCTCCCAGCGGCCGTTCAGGGACCGCATCATCCACCTGCTGGCGCTCCGGCCCTACAAGAAGCTGGAACTGCTGGCCCGTTTGCAGCGGGACGGTATCAACCAGAAAGACCGCAACTCATTGGGGACCACCCTGCAACAGGTAAAGTGTTAAATTTTATGCAAAAATATGCCATGTCAATATTTAGACTGCCACTTAAAATAGAAGTGACCCAGTTATTAGTATTTACACATCCTCCATTAGACAGCAAAATCCAGAAGTGCTAACTTTTGTATTTAAACAGCTGATATTTAGGTATTCCTCGTGTTCTTAAAGTGTTTAGTTTGACCCCAGATCTCCTTACCCGCTGTAAAAATGAGATCGAGATACACAAATCTGTCTGAGGAAATTCATTCATTCACTTTGAGGATAAAACAAGCCCCTTAATCCTTTAATGTTATTTGCATGCACAGATGTTAGGCAGCGCAGGAAATGTGAAGTTTCAGAACATGTGTACTTCTCATGCGGTCAGTTTAACTTTTAACTGTGTGTCTCTGTGTACTAAACAGGTGGCAAACCTTAACCCGAAAGACAACACGTACTCACTGAAGGACTTTGTTTATCGTGACCTTCAGCGAGACTGGCCCGGCTACTCTGAAGATGACAAGTCACAGGTCGACCGGATCCTGGCTCGGTACATAAATAGCCTGTTGAGCATTTTATTTTCCTTCTGAGCGTACTCTGTTGAACAAACAAAGCATTTGTGTTGTATGGAGTTCATAAAGGCTCAAGGTGGCTGTTAATGTGTGACGGTCCAAATATATAACTGTAATGTTGGTTACTGTGGATCCTACTATTTGTTTCACTGACACCTTTCAATCCTTCAGATTATGTGAAAGGAATAGTTCAGCATTAAGTCAATAGCGCATGTAGTACACATGTAGGTTTTATTTTACAGTAAGAAATCATTTACCTTTACATTTTATATCGTGTATTGTTTACATCAATACACCGTGCTCCCCTCTGACAACACTATTTCCTTTCTTTAACAGCAAACTAGGTCTTCCTACTGAGGCCCTCTCCTCAAGCAGTTCTCCCAAAGACACTGTCCCCACATCCCCCCAGGTATCTGAGCAAATACACACTATCAACACACACACACCCCCACAGTGAAGTGTGCAGTTTTTCAGATAAATCCTGTGTTCTCTTCCAGAAGCGCCAGGCAGACTTTGACTTTATTGATCCTTTGGCTCCCAAAAAAGCCCGCATCTCCCACCTCAGCAACCGTGGGCCAGCCACCTCCTCCTCCGACCGCCCCGAGGACGAGGGCAGCCCCAGCTCTAAACGCCCGTCTCTACCCGCCAACGTCAACTCTGGCCCTCCCACCCATCTCCCAGTCCCGTCCCACCCACCAGCACCCTCCCACCAGCAGCCCAGCCCAGCCTCAAACTCCAACTCACCCAGCACCCCGGAGGGCTGCGGCACCCAGGACCTGCCGATGGACCAGAGCTCCTCCTGCAGAGACCCTTCACCAAGCCCGTTCTCCTCCGATAGGACCCTGCAGGACCACTATCGGCACCCCGTCCCCGTCCCCAGACCCGCCGCCTCCCTTAGCCCTCCCCCTCCTCCTCCTCGCACCTCCCTCACAGTTACCTCCACTGTCATCACCAGCCCTCCCTTGTCCAGCAGTACCAACAAGAAGTTCAAAAAGAAAACCAAGAAGCACAAAGATAAGGATCGAGAGAGGGAGAAAGGGAAACGGACTGAAAAAAGTAGCATAAGTCCTCCCAGTGTAGCAGAGCCGGCCGAAGACACTCGCAGAGCCAAAAAGAAGCGCAGTGCAGAAGAAGAGAACCAAGAAGTTATCAACAAAAACCCTCACAAAGATCAAGGTGTGTTCCTGTCTTCATGAAGTTATTAACTATCAGCATCACTTAAATGGCCGTACGTTACAATTACTGTCGAACGTTTTCCGGCTTGCATATCACATTTATTACAGGGTTTGCTTTGTCAATTAGGTAATCGGTGTGTGTTCATTTAGTGTAGGGGACATCTCTTTAAGATGTAATGATCATAGTTTAATTTGATCTATATTAACATATTAATGAGCTTGAGTACAAAAAAGGGGTTGTCTAGGGGTTGCACTCAGACCACATTTTCTGTATTTTTTTTCTATATAGTCGGTACGGGTTTTTTGTTCCGGTGCTCTGAAATCTGCCCGCATGCGTGTGTGTTTGGACTCACTAGTCCGAGCAGCATTGGTATGTCTTGTGACATGCCTTCTCTGTCCAAGTTTCCAGCCAAATTATCTTTCAGACTTTGGATTGTTGCTCACCATGTTACAGATGTTTATCTCCGTTTATGTCTGTTCCATCCCAGCCAACCACATTGTTAATGTTTGATTACACTGATGCACTGGATGTTGTCTGAACACACTGAGGCGTTGATCTGTGCATTCTATCCTTTACCCTAAATTAATTATAAATAAACATAAAAAGCTATTTACAACATATTTAATTATTTTATACTTTGGCCTAAATGATAACAGACGCAAAGGCGTCTACTACGGAACGAGCTGTAGCGATGGGTTGCAGTTATATTATAAACACAACTATTAGAATATCTATCAGACAAAACGTATTGAATATGACACTTCTGCTATATTCACCCTTAACAGCCTATCAAGAATTTATGCACAGTTCTATTTTTAATATCCTTCGACCCATCCCACCAGTAAAGAGACATCTATGTTAAATAATTGTTAAAATGACGTTCTTTATTGCTGAATAGCGGCAAAACAAGTAGCCCTTCATTAAGGCCATGAACTCTCTCACACACGTCCCAGAAATGATGTATTAATAAGCTCTTTGTTTTGCTTATGAAAGTAATTGGTTGTCCGACAAATGACAATTTGGTAGGACGAGAGCATATCGACCAACCAAGCAGTCAGCCCTCATTGTCAATGCAGTATTTACATTCTTGCACTTTCCTCTCCCTCCTCAGGCCCTTCAGATAAAGAGAAACCAGTCCAATCCACTGAATTCTCCCCCACAGCGGAGACGCCCGACTATGTAGTGTGAGTAACCTCGATATGCTGTGAAGTTTCCATTGTCCCACAGCGTGACCCTCTTCACCTTTCAGGTCTCTCGTTTCACAATTTGAAACATTCGACTAAACGGGACATTTTGAAGAGACCCACGCTTGAGAATGAGAACACAGGAAATGCAGCGAAAACGCAAATGTTTCATTTGTGCACTCTGGTATTGTCCAACAGCTGTTTTCTCACTTCCCGTGTAACTGGTAACGAGTGCAGAGATGCATTGCACAAATAGAGAAGCTCAAAGGTTGTTAAACAAGATTCTCACCTTTCTTTAAAGATCACAACCTTTAGCACGGTGTTTGTTAAAACAAAGAAAGTTTGCTAAAAAAAATTCTGAAATGATTATTTTTATGTGTTGCACGACTTTCAAAAGAATCATTCAGTTAAATCTCCTTTCCTGCGTTTACAGGAAGTACATGCCTATGATGTCCATGGACCAGCGGCAAAGTTACAAGGACGACTTTAATGCAGAGTACGATGAATACCGCCAGCTGCACACCCGCGTGGAGAACATCACCCGCCGCTTCACCGAGCTGGATGCCAAGTGCCGGAAGCTGACACCCGGCACCAAAGAATACCAGGTCAGCATGAATACACTGTACTAATGCTGGTGGTGCTATTATCCACATGCCAGCGCGCACTAAAAAATTACGTTATCACGGCCTTATCTACAGTCGATGGGCTTATCTCTGGGTTACACTCGTTGTCTTTTTGATTCTTGACAGTTAATTTTGTTTGTACGCCCTCTAATATTTGGGGATTAATGCAGCGCATAGAGTATAAATGCCTCCGTACGTACTCGGGATGGACTACGCAGCCAACCGCTAGTACAAACAAAGCTATAATCCTGATGGAGCGGTGAATTTATCATTTTAGAAGCCCATCAATACCATCAATTTCATGAGCTCTCAAAAAAGGTAGCTGGTTAAAATCGTTCTATTAGATGCAGATTGTGAGTGTGAATGGACCAGAATCATAGAAGGATTCGATAAAGTATCAATGAGTCTCCATAGTAGTGTTCCTATTATTTTGTCCATTCCTGGTGTATATAGAAGATAAGTGGATCTACATTAAAAGTCATAATTTATATTTTTACAGAAGGTGCAAGACGAAGTCCTGAAAGAGTACAAAAAGATGAAACAAGTGAGTAGTTCTACTGACTTCTGTCTCATGATGATGCTTGTTGTTTATTATTAACTATGTTTGTCTTTTTCTGTCAAACACAGCCGTGGTTCCTGTCGGGTGATATTATGTGCATGTTTTTGTTTTTTTTAACAGCACAGCCCCAACTACCACGAGGAGAAACAGCGCTGCGAGTACCTGCACAACAAGTTGGCCCACATCAAGCGGCTAATAGCTGATTTTGACCAGCGCAGAGCCCAGGCCTGGTGCTGAGAGCGCAGCACATCTTCACTAATCAGTATTGAGAACGGTGTGTCCAACTGGCTGTTATTTATTAACACCCCTTCAGTTACTGCCTCCACAACAGCCCCCCACCTTGTTTCCCTTTTCTTTTTTTCCCCATCATGCTTTTTCATTCCTTGCTGCTCTTCCTCTTTTGATTCCACTGGCTTCATTGTTGCCTGCAATCTTGAAAAATCTCACTTTGACTTTTACCCCCCATCTTTTGCTTTCTTTAAGTTTCTTCTAAATGGGCTCCTTTGGAACACCACTGGACCGGTGGAAGATGCAGCCTGCATGTGTGAAGGGGTTTGTGGGAAAAACGTCAACTCTTCTAATATTTGAAGGACTTTATCTTCAGGCAAAAAAAAGAACAAAAAAAAGTATTTTTGAGCATCAGAGAAAATATTACCTTGTATTTAAGTAAAAAAAGAAAGAGGGAGATCTATTTATTTTGGGACTCGTAGTGCAAAGAAGAGTCCGCAGATGATATATTGTTTAACTTTTGTTGAAAACAATGCAAAAAAAATTACCACGGGCCTTATGTGTTTTGACTTTGTGAAGCCATTTTGCACGCAAGATCCATTATGTCATCTCATTTGGCAAAGGTGTCTCACCTGCCTCATTTCCTCTCTTCTCCTAAAAAACTGTACTGGATCACCTTGCTTCAACACAGTACTGTTCAGTTTGAGGCTGAAGGGGAAGGAAATGAGACGGGCAGGAGAAATCAATTGAGCCGATTTTGAGAAGCAACAGTATGTGTGCATGAATTGTAAATTTAGTTGTATTGGCCACATGGGTTGGTGAGGGTGGGGTAACTCAAAGGAGTATGACCCCCTGTCAGTAGGGGGCAGGATTCCTGGCACCACCAGTGTTTAATGTTCATGGTGCATTATGGGTGCCTTAAGGTGTTTACACCCAGAAACGTCAAGTTGGGCCGACCCTTAGGGTCCACAGGCTACACAAAGGAACTATAACTGCCTGGAAACAGGATGTGTGTGCGTGTGCATGTCGGAGAGCTGAATGAAGGAAGGGATGTAAAGTCTGAAAGGAGTGTTACAAATAGTGTGTGTGTGTGTGTGTGTATTTGTACGGTTGTGCATTATGTGGAGTGACAGGTGTACGAAAAAGTGAGAAACATGAAAAACAAAAAAAAACAGCTGCTATAGTGTTTGACCAGCCAGAGCACTCAGGATCAACCTGGCTGGAGTAACAGTACCTGATCTTAATTGAAGAGGTATAAAAGATCCTTATATTTCAGAATGGTTCATCTCTAGACCTGGTGAAGGACTGCGCCCTCCTCTTCAGCTTTATCCAGCGCCAAACAGTTTCTGTTAGAAAGAAGCAAACGTGTCATCCACCAGAGGACAAATGTGTATCACCATTTAAAATGTATTTGATTCTCAGTTTGAGTTCTGCAGAGCAGTGAAAGATTATTATTTTTTTCAACATTTGAGATGGATTTAGTTCAATGGATGGATGAATGGCTTCTACGAAAAGTCTTTATTTCAACAAGGGAAAATTGTTTACAAACCTGTGTTAGAATGTTTGCCAAAAATTAAATATTTTTCTGGTACTGCATCCATGGAGTAACATTTCTGATTGGGGCTTAACTTTAGGAGACCTTAATACTGGAATATGTGTATCATTACATGTTGGGATGTGAGGAAGAACTGAGTCACTGTGACCCCCACAAAGATCAACGGAAAAGTACTCAATTGACTCAGCAGTCTGGTCTGCTTTATATATTCAGATAGTGTGGACATGTAGGAGTCTGTGTCCCGTATTGAAAACTCCCCAGAAACAGATTTAAGTAAATGTGGATCTATTCTATTTCACACATATTTTGGTTGTGGCGCTCCGTCAAACAGTCGGTCGCTACAGCTGACGGCATCAATGTAACATAGTTCCAGACCTGGCTTAACTTGTCTCTCAACTTATTTTGGACGGAACAGCAGCACTTGTATCTTTGATGTGTCACAACTGCAAGTAAAGAAATGTCCACCAGAGTTCAGGCTCTACTTGAGAGTTACATGTTGGTTGAGGGCTACAGGGTCAGTCTTTTGGTTTATTTTTTCCCCCTCTTGCAAAGGTCATCTCCCAGAATTAGCAGTCAACACTGGCAGATCCAGCTAAATGAATGATGGAGGCTAGGGCTGTACATGCAGCCTTAAAGTGTTCGCCATCAAGTGTGTCCTCTTCTCAGCCTTCCAAACACTTCTGTCTTTGTCAACGGCAATTTTACTTAAATTGGGTCTGATGAACGTGATTTATTTGAATCACTGTGGTGGGAGGAAGGAGGGAAGAGGTTTGATCGAGAGTCTTAGAGGAAGCGACGAAGTTGAAAAACGCCCCGGCAGCGTTTAGGTATGAGGAAACAACCTAAAAATCAAGTGAATTTTGGGTGAAATCTGATCCTGCCTAGCTGAAAATGTACAAGACATTTCAATAAAAATCAATTTCGTTTTACCTGGAAAATGTCTTCTGTATGGTCTTTGTGGTTACATTTTCATCATTTTAAATAGTTATGTAAAAACCAAAGATACTTAGAATAGATCAGAAGCACCGCCTGCTATTGATCTATGACATAGTTATGATTTATCCAAATCAGGAAGTGTCAGTTAATTTAGTGTCCCCCAAGTAGTTCATGTATTCAGTGTTGAAAGATGTAAAACTGTCACACACTGACATCGCATTTAGAAATGGAATTACATAAATATTTAGCTCCACCAGTAGCCTATGAACCTTTGGGCCAACTACTGTATGCTGCAGAATATTACTCTGGTTCATTATCACTCACATTTTACAGTTATTAACCGTTGTGACTGGTAAAACGTACATTAGTTAGGTAGTCGCTTGGTTCACCTGCAGTACTGTTCTCCAAAATACAAACAAGCAGGTTTAGTTGAGCCACATCTGAACACAGAAATAAAGAGATCGTCCTGATCGTTAGTGGTAGTAAGTAGTGTATCACTTATAACTTAAGTCATTATCCAATTATAAATTATCTCTGGAAATCCCTAGCTTGTGCACGCGCTTACATGCGCATGCACGAGTAAAGTATCCCTTTAAGAAGAAGGGGTGGCTGCCTCTTACGTCATCTTGAGAGAGCGAGAGATCATCTTTGTTCTCCATTGCTACCTTCTTTCTCATCTTGTAAACACTTCATCGGACGACTTAAAATGGCGCAGCAGTTTGTGCAAACCAAAATCAAGGGAGATAAAGTGGTGCTGTTCATTAAGCCCACGTGTCCGTACTGCATTACGGCCGAAGAGGTTTTGTCAAAGTACAAATTCAAGCCGGGACATTTGGAGAGTGTAGATATAAGTAAACGCGGCGACATGAGCAACATGCAGGAGTACTTCCTGGAACTCACCGGAGCCCGCACGGTAAACACAGACGCTGTCTTTGTCATAGTGTAAACAACGCTAGTGTCGTTTTAAACAGCCTGAAAACACACGTGTTAATCTACAACATAGGACTGTAGATGTACAACTATGTGTAGGCCAACTTTGTGGAATAAAAAAAGTGAGAGTAATTTAACCACAGGCGATATATACTGGTTCTGTAAACAACCGGATGTATGGTTTGTAATGTTTGATGTAAACATTTGCCAGTTGTTGTTCAGTCATTTTGCTACGGTTCCTCGTATAATCCATAAATGACTCGGCATGGTGAAATCAATAGTGAGTCAGCAGCAGGAACTACGCACACAGAAACCCACTTACCTCACTTACCGACTCTTCTTCTGTAGCAAAACCAAGTCAGACAGTTACATTTAGGATTGATGAAAGAATTAACCTATGAACAAAATGAGTAGTGAACATGAAGCACATCTCTTGTAGACTAATACATAAAGAAAGTAAACACACAAACTGTTAATAACGGACATATTCTAACACCGAAACAGAGAAATACAACCGTCCACCTTCTGAATTCAAGTTTACACCGAACTAAAACGGGCTAATTAGCCTAGCTTATTAACTCATACTCCATTCAAACTGCACAGATACAAAATAGAACTCCCCGAACACGTTTTGGTTAGTCTTTCCACTGTTCCAACTATCAGCAACTCTGGTTTGGTCGAAATAAATCTTTTAAATCACCGAGTAAAATGTGAAAATATGCCGGCTCTACCAGCCCTTAAGGCCCGCTGGATCTCTCTCTCTCTCTCTCGTGCGTACGCTGCGGCTTATTGGCGGCTCGTGCTCCCTCTTCAGCATGATTCATAGCATCAGTTATACATAACATCAGAAAGAACTGCACGCTATTTTCACAATATATATCTCCAACTCAGATAGATATAGACATAAAAGAAAATTGACATTTTCCTTTTAAAACAACCGTCAAAATAGTTGCCAATTATTGTTTGTCATTGCCCACATTGGCCTTGTACCAGATGGTGATGGGGTGGATACCACGGTGTCATGGCAGCATCTCTGTTGGTAGACGACATCTGGTGGTATACATCGCCATGCTGTCCAACTCCATGCACAACACTGAATAACCAGTTGCGCCCCTTGCTTCTCTTGTGTTGATTTGAATGTAGGTCCCGAGGGTGTTCATCGGTGAGGAGTGTGTTGGAGGCGGCAGTGACGTGGAGGCGCTTCACAAGAGTGGCAAACTGGAGAGCATGCTGCAGTCTATTGGAGCCCTGCAATGACCGGCTGCAGACCTTCCAGGTAACGGGACACCTGCACACACTCACCAGCTCGTGCAACGTGAAAGACGGCGTGTGTGGCTGTGGTAATAGGGAGGCCCTTTGTAGTAGCAGGCAAGAAAAAGGAGGTGGGTGTACTCCCTCAGAAGACCCGAAGCAAGTCATTAAGTGCATACATTAGTAACGGCAAGCTCTAATTAGTGTATAAATAAATACATTAAAAGAAAATAAGATGCCCGAGGTGGTGCTCAAAGAGATTAGGAGTAATTGCTCGGTGGTTAAGACATGAGTGAAATCTGCCACAGGCCAACGCTTCATCCGGGCCTTAAGGAAATGTACATACGGGTATAAATGAAACATAATGAATGCAGATGTTTCCACTACATGGTTTGATGAGTATGAAAATCAATGGTAATCACATGTGATGACCTTCACACCAGATCTCAACCCAAGTTAAAAACTATACAAGATCTTGAAATGGTGTTATAACCGCCTTCAGATATCAGCCTGATAATGGCCTGACCCAAAGGCAAAGGCCAACAAGCTTATGATCTGACATGGTCCAGCTAGCTACGTTAAGAATGAAAGACTCGCCTGTTCTGACACAGATTTTAAGGCGGATCCTGTAGTTCTGGACAATGCTCTCCACCAGCATCATGAAACCTCCAAATGAGGGAATACCGTTGTTTCTCTCTCCAGTAGAGTTTGGAGAATCTTTGCCATGGAGCACTGAAGCGGTTGTGTTGAAACACAGCAGAGCGCAGACATTCATCCAGTCTGTGGTTCGTTCATTCTAAAACATGTCTTTATTTAAAGTCAGACGTCATGTTATCTACACTCTGTACAACACTGGCCCGGTGGAGCCACGTGTGTGTCTCCACACACTGGGTGTGGATGCAGCACTGGAGTACACTTAGTTTTACAGTCCACTCTTTCAACTGTTATTTAGTCTTTTTCTTTTTAAGAGTAGACTGGGAGTTATCTGAGGATTTCCTAGTAGACACACACTGATTGCTGTGGTGCAGCAGCAGCAGGTTAATAATACACCAGGTGGTTTAAAAGGTACTGACTGATATCACCTATACACTGTCAAAATCTCAGTGGTAGCTTTCCTGTACTATATACACAGCCTGCTGCTACTCCTCTGTTTAAGTACTGCAAGAACAGCATACAAATACAATTACGTACTGTTTGTCGACTGTTAATGACAGGTACTGATCCACTAAATAAAAAATAGCTGCAAAATATCACTATTGATCTTTTTTGCTTTCATTTTGTAGACTGTTTTTTAATCATGCACCTTTTTGAAGTAAATATCAGTGAAACAGTAGACTGTAAAATAGTGTGACCCAGTAGTCTCTAATCCAAATGTAAAAAAAAAAAAAAAAGTATAATCATGTCCACATACAGTATAGTTTACAAAAATAATTGCAGCACCAATAAATCATAATCTCGTTATGATTAAAAACAACCTCTGAAATTAAAAAAATAGGATAAATAAATATTGTATATCCACCCAGAGGCATTGTGGTTTTTATTGTACCAACTTATGTTCATGATATGGTTGTTTCTCCTAAATCTTTATACCACTTCTGTCCACATAAATGCTACCGGAGGCTTTTGCCATTTCATGTGACAGACAGAGACAGACCATTAGCATGTGTTATTGCAAAGAGATACGGAATAGTTTCAACGTGATGTCATATAAACCTGCAAAGGAAGTGGTGTAAAAGTCCAGGCTTTAAATTAAATTTAAAAAAACACTGATTATTGTTCTGGATTTGGTGTACTTGATTTTTCATACAGGCGATGTGTAGTTTAATTTGAAGATTTCATTTCAAGTCATTTTTTGACACAGCCGACGCCCAGAATGTATTTCATCTCGCATCATATATCTGAAAGAATGTTAATACAATAATTGTATTGAATTTGGTCCTGCTCGTCTGCTGAACATTAGTTTTTAAACAGACAGAAGAAAGCGGTCGTGAACGTTCCACCTGCAGCATTACCACTTCTCCTGAAATACCGATAGAGCCGCAAAGAAGTTAGAGGCTCAAGACTTATTTCAGCTTAAGCAATGCTGCATGTGATCACGTCCACAATTTCTAGATCCAAGAGGTCACAGATGCATCATGGGCCAGGGTTTTAATTTAAGACTGATAAGTCCAGTGTGCAGAAGATACAGACATTCTAAAGAGCAGGAGAGCAGGAGCAGTTTCCTTTCTGCCTTTTCAAACAAAGTCACATCAACGATCCCAGTCTGTTTTGGAGCCATTTTGTGTCACTGTTCAAAGTAGATATTCACCATTTTGCAGTAGAAAGATAATCGTTCACCGTGGGCCAGCTGGTCGTTTTTAAATTCATATTGGGTTTCAAGGATCAGTCGTTTAGTATGGCCCGTGTTGAATAGTCATTACACAAAAGGATGCACAGTCATTCCTCCGGGGGAAGAGAGGCGTGTCTCAGCGGTGTGTGTCACTGCACAACGTTGTCCTTTTGGTTGAGGAGTCTCGTGACCTCTCGGTGTCCCTCAGAGTCGGCCCTTCATCCAGCACAGGAAACACTTTATTCTGTCTGTTTCTCCATGTGTCGATGACTCGTCTCACTCTTTATTTTCTCCCTTCCTCTGCTCTCCTCACTGTTTTGCACAGGTCTCCAGGCATCCGGGTGGGGGGGGTCACATGACTATGCAGCGGGACTTGCGCAACTTGCGTCGCCGCTGCTGGTACTCGCTGAGCTCCTGCAGGTATCCTCTGGACGGCCAGCGTAGCCTCTCCACCTGCTCGCGCTCCTCCTCTGGAACACAGGAACATATAAACTGTAATCTACCGTAAACACAACTATAATTACTGTGCCTGGCACACACACACACACACACTCATACAAAGACATACACTTTTAACTGCTTGCATTGTTGCCGAGAACACAGCCAACGAGGCCGAATAGTCTGATAAGACTTTGTTTACACCAACAAGCAACAGAGGACCAACGGCTATCCATCATGTGCTGTGGCCTTATTCTCCCTTTGACTTCTCTTGTGCCCTTAAGTACCCGTCCAATGACCTTAAACTTGTGTGTATGACTAATGATGTCAATAAAATGTGAAACTGCGACTAAACGGAGCAATGTAGCTGTTAATCTTTAACTGCGTGCCGAATGCATGTGACTATAATAACAGTATTAACTGGTATTAAGAATACTACAAGGATGTATTACATCCAGTGTAATACATGACATATTGTGCTATATGGCAGTATAGCATAAAGTGCAGAGGTTTTCACAAGTGTCTAAAACCATGTTGTTGTCAAACCTCCAGAAATAGAAAGTGATAAACTTACTTTCTATTCTCCAAAAGGTGACAACATGGTTACTATTGTTTCAATTGTATTAAGTGATTGATGGACACCTTCATTACACCTCATATTTTACTAACTGGTTGGCCATTTAGTGAAAAAATGAGAACCAGCCTACCTTTGGCAGCCCTTATCTGAGACAGAGAACCTAATCTACATTTATTTTGGGGAGAAGCAGAACAGATCCTCACAAGCCTGCAGGCATTCTGACTTGATCATTTTCAAAAAAGAAATCTGACGCCTTCCATACTGTTGAAATCAGCAGTTTCATTTTCACTCTGCAGCAATTTTAGTTTGCACAGCCATCACTTACAAGGCTTATTTGAATTTGTTGATACGCGTTTAAAGAAAGAGGAAAAAAAAAAAAAAACACTAACCTGAGAGCTCCAGGAAGTCAGGTTTGTGACTAAAGATCAGGTAGTTGTTGGCGATGAAGTGGAGGAGCCAGATATACAGCTGCTCTGCATTGTGGCACTGAGAATCAATTCAAACATACACATTATGTTAAATAACGATTCTCTTGAGAGTTAATGCATTCTCACATAACCGTGAATATCTGGAGCGGATGGAGGCCTACGGCTACTGTAAGTAAAAGATTAAGCCACTGAAAAAAATTACATTGAGCAATTTTTTTGGCAAACAGGAAGAATTCCTCTGTCGGCATCATTTGCATTTTGGAAGCTGAAGAAAATGTCCTATTGTAATGAAATAGTAATTCATTTACACAGACGTGCCATCTCCTGCAGGTGTGTTTATTCTCTCAATTCATCTCCCTTATATGCTCAGAAGTAGCACTGACCTTTGCTCGGCGGAGCAGTCGAATCACGCTGATGCCCGTGGACGAGAGCTCTCTACTGGGCATGCTCTGAAGGTAAGCGCACACGCACACTTCACACAGATGCTGCAGACGCTTCACCTGGTACATCTCCGCACAGACCAGCACGGCCATGGCCTGCAGCACACTGGCTGGACACACAAACACACGCACACACACACTAAGAATTACTGTATGCATGTATCGTTATGACGTCATGTAGATTACTGCAGTGGTTGCAATATTTTTAAGCCGGTAGGCCTCCAAAGTATTTCAGAGGCTTCTGTAAATAAAGTGTTGTTATGATTAGTGGTCCAAATATATTTTGAACAGAGCAACATCAGGATTACCACAGGAAGCTTTTAACAACTATAATCATCATAAAAGGATTGTGTGTGTGTCTATTTCCACCATCATACAGTATGTACAGTATACAATATGTACATGAGTGAAATACTCTGATAGCGACCCTCCTTTGATTTCACAACCTTAGTTTTTCGTGGCCACTGCTGGAGTTACCTTGTTTTGCCCTTGAGTGCTGAGCTCTTACATAACAGCAGTGCAGCGGCTGCAGCCTCTGGGAGCTGCTTCATGGCTTTAATTTGCTGTTCCCATGACTCAACCTGAAGCTGTATCTCTGGAGAAAGCTTGCTTACCCTCCATGTACCTAAGACCGATCTTAAGTGTTTGGTTTTAGAGTTTCTTCATGATTTTCTTTTACCAAAACATCTCATGCCACAAAATAAGGGGATTGTCGGCTCTCAGTAGCTGGTTATTCAGGACAGATTATTCTGAGTCTTTACATTGTCTATTCAGCAGCTTCGTTGTGTAACAATACTGAAAGGGAAGATGACAACAGACAGTGTTGTCATTAACTCTGTATGTTTACAGTAAGTAAGTTCATGGCTCTATCTATTCATTTAGGACTGTAAAATCTTGATTTGTTTTTGCTTTCTGAAGCAGTAATCATCTGTAGTTGGGAGGCTTGACTTGTGAGTTGTGATGGATTTCATGAAAACACACGAACCTGGCGAACCTGTTAAATAGTTAGCAGACACAATGCAACATGAACATTAGTTGGTTTGTCTGACTAAAGAAACGAGTGTTGATTTTCAATGAAATCAGCTGAGTTTTCATAATACATAGTCATTTGATTCAGAAGTAGAATAAAAATAATTATTATTGTAACTTTAAGGTTGTAGGAACACTGAAAAAAATGTACCGTCATCGCCACCACCAGAGAGAATGATCAGCACTAATCCCTTTGAAAATGCAGCGCACAATGTGACAGATAGTGACAGAGGAAAACAACAACAACAACAACACGTTTGGGGCTGTGAGTTTGCGCCATCAAAAGCAGACGAAGCTGTGATGCCACGGCTTGATGTTGTCATCACTAAATCTAATTGAATTTTAAGCCCAGTGCTGTTCTCCGCCAGCCACCCGAGACTGACACTGGCAGCATGTCGCAGTCACAGATGGTTGATGGGACTTGTCATCTGCGCTTTTGTTTTGGGCTGCGCTCAGTGAGCGACGCCAAGAGGAAAACACCACTGCACCTCCTCAAGTGTTCTGTAATGGTGCATATTCCTGTAGCACAATAAAATGACGTCAAAGGTCCATTGTCCTTCTGCAACACACGGTCTCACGCCATACAAAATCTGCTACCGGGTTTAATTAGTGCTCAAGATAAAGAGGAGGGGAGGGCCAGCTTCTTACTATATTTAGCTCCAGTTGACGATGTGTTTGCAGTTTTATGTGCCATTTTTTAGGCACCTAAAACAGCTTTAATGTTATAGTAAAATTGTAGTCGTCACAGCGGTGTACTTGAGTACACGTCTGGGTTTGTGTGCAGTAAACTCACCAGGACAGCAGGAGTCAGTGTAGAGGTACTCCAGGAAAGACAGGAAGGTATCTGAGGAGACTCCGTGGATAGGCACCACTCTGCTCCGGGCCTCTGCATATTTCCCACTGAACATGGCCGCCATGACATCACAGCGTGCCACCAGCACTGCTCGGTGGGCTGGCAATACACTCCCTTAAACACACACAGACACACACATGAAAAATTAACAGCTGGGTTTAGAATTTCAGAGTAGCGTCTAGGAAAGTCCCAAAGAGCTGTGAAGTGAAAGACCTGAAAGTATAAACGACTCATGATTAATGTATTGAATGTTGACTGATAGTAACAGAATGCATCTCTGATGTAAAAACGTTTGGAGATGATCACAAACACATTTTGAATAATTTTCAAAAGGTGGAAGGTTTTTTTTCTCATCACAGACGTGTAGAGGCCAAATCTAATTCAATTTGACTTGTTAAAAGTGATGATCAGTCATAATGTGCCATTTAAAACACCGGGACACAAATGACATGAAAAGCCTGGGCACAAGTCCTGACATAATCGCTGTCATGAAGTGCAATTAACAGCCATTGACTGCTCTCACTACACTCAGCACATAAGTGGAAAAAAAACTGAACAGAAATGCACCAAAATATTCATTACGTCTATATTTATAAACAGCTCAGAGGTGCAAGGACCAAAAAAAGATCACTGTTCTTTTTATGAGATAAATATTGATTAGGATATGCTTTAGGGCATTATTTCCAGATTTCTCAGTTTGAGCTTGCACAAGCTTCTGGTGAGATGAAACCCGGCCGGCCCGGAAGGCAGCCCGTCCCTCGGAACACTTTATCTTATTTTGCCTGCGAATGGATACCCAGGCCGGGAGTGAGATCATAATTCAATCACTGCTAATTAAATGTGACCTTCCTCTGCTGTGTGACGGTGCATGCATTTGTAAATGTGAGTGTGTGTGTGAGTGTGTGTGTGTGTGTGTGGAACAGATAAGCATTGACCCACCTTGCACCATGAAGATGACATCGGAGTAAAGAGGAGAATTGAAGAGGTTGACTAGAGTCTGGGGGCCGAGCTGAGCTGCCCGGGCACTCGGCGTGTCCCTGGTACCCTACGCACACACACACACACACACAGAAGAAGAAGAAGCCAAAAGAAACATACAGAGAGAGTTAACATTCCTCTGCTGGATGTCAGGTACTAGTTACCAGCACAATTGCCATTCTGTACGTCTATCTCACCTCCGCCGTGGAATACAAATGACCTCTCTGCCAGTCGTGCACAGCGCTCCCCAAACACGCTTCAACTGCAATGCCAAGAACGACATGACGGAACTGGCTAACACCGAAAGCAGACTAGGAACCACACGCTCGTCCAAACCGTCTATTAATCTACACATTCCTGGTCATTTCGAGCATTCAAAGGATGCATCATGTGACATATGTGTATCCAGTGTACTACAGTGCACAGCAGGTAAAATCAGTAGTATGACAACGGCTGTCAGTTGGTTTTTGCAGTGTATGTGCAAACGCAGTCGCGTTACCTCCTCAAATGAATGTCGTCAAAGCATCCCATTACCGTTGAGTGACCTTTCTCAGTCAACCGAAGCACAAAGGACTTCATATTCTCTCACTGTTCTGCTGCAGAGGGAGTGCTCAGCAAACACACGGAGGCTTCAGCAGAGGCAGCTACAGAATCAAGCCCCTTTGATTCTGTAAATCAATGCAAAGCTTATGGAAAGCCCGATGGAAGATTTCAGCCGGTCTGGCAGAGTGAGAGGACCCGAAGGTGTTTGCAGAGGACGGGATCAAATCACGACAGGACATTAGGGTGTCTCATCGCGTTAAAGTGGCCCAGCCGTCTCTCGGTGTGTCAGCGCGCCTCTACACCGCCTCAGGTAGCAGACCTAGTTCTATCCAGATGGGTTGGTGGGCTATGCATGGTGGTGCCAAAGGCTTGTCAGACGCAGCCATGTCATGTCTCCTGATCTCTCTCTAAATGTTAAAGTCTGCCGCCTATTACACAAAGCCACCTTAAGTTTTTTCAGATGGACACAATACTTTACAGATGTGACACTGCGGTGTTTAAGGAAATGTTGGATTTCATGGCTCCTTACAGATATCGTGTTGTGCTTTGGCTCCTTTAAGAGCATATCTTGTTTGTCTCGTCCTAATTCCCAAAGTATCTGGGAGAGGATACGGGCAGTAAATATGCTAATTAGAGCCAGATTATTACTGCGCTGTTTTTAAACGAGGTCTTGCTAATTAAGCTACTGTTAGTCTGCAACTACAACAACATGTGTTCATACCTTCAAAGAGTAGATTTGACACATTATAGATATTTAACCTCTATTGGTGGGGAGGGCTGTTGTAGCATTCACACCATAAAATATTCCAGTCTTAAAACAAGATTATGTGATTTTTAGGAAGTGTCTGTGTGTGTGTAAGAGCCATTTTAAACATGAAAGACCTCACCTTTTCTTTGCCGATGAGGGATCGTATGCGCTCCATAAGCTCAGCCACAGCTAGTGAGTTCTTCAGCTTCTCTTCCAGGGCCTCCTGAAGGTGATCCCACTCCCACGCTCCTAAAAACATCCACAAACACAGATTCTCTGGACCCACAATAGTACAGTTTACAGAAATACACAGGCAAACTCTTTTTAAGATGGCACTGTGTTCTGAAACACCCACGTACCTTACACACTGAACCCTCAGGGCCTGTTTTTGACAAAGTTGGCGTGTTCTAAAAATGTGTCCGCTTATATAACCCACGGTGGTTATGGGTGGGACACCCTGTCCAGATTACACAAATGTCAGAAGTAGTGACCCAATGCCTTCAAAAAACACACCAGTGGCCATAATAAATCTGCCTTAGTATAATTACATTTTGTATAGCTCCATCTATAGTCCAGTAAATTAATGGATAATAAGGCCAATCTATACAAATGAAATATATCAATATATATGTTAAACAAATATAGCATAAACATATTTAAATTTAAATTACAGGTAAAGTCACAATTAAATAGTTTGGCTTATAGACGGAGAGTCTGCATTTCACTTCATCTCATCCATTCACATTAAAAATAAGGACCAAAATACAAAGTAACTGTGTTTAAACCAGAGTCTACAGCTATGCTAGCGCTGGTGCTTTAAGCTAAATGCTATCGCCAGCATGCTAACATGCTAACATTGCGGTGCTTGAATGCTGATGTGTAGCAGATAATGTTTACCATGTTCAGCATCTTAGTGTAGCGGGTTGGCATGCTGACATTTGAACCAAGCTGGTGTGAATGTCATTAGTTGTGCAGGTATTTGGTCATAAACAATTAGACAATTAAAATGTTGTCCTGATGATGTATAATGGCAATAAAAAAAAGTAAGGGATCACATGATACATGTGGTTGCAATTGTTAAGACATTCCACATTTCCACGAAAAACCCTATTGTGGACCTCACAGTGGCGCCAAATGTAAAGTCAGGAGATCACCAAAGTCCGTAGGATTCATGCTCTGGGGACCATGAACGCTGCTAGAATTGCTTAAAACTATAGATACACAATAAACAAATAAAAGTGTTCAAAGAATGAACCCGGAAATGAGTTAGCATTTTTGTACTTCCAATTATATTGCTGAGCAAAATATGTAAGTGTCATAAACTTGTGTTTACCACAGAGCTATATAATCAAATGGAAAAATCCCATTGGCTTTTTGTCGAGGGAACGATGGCAATGCTAACTTCCTAGATCAGCCAAAAAAAAGCAGCATTTTATAGGAAAATAGACCTTTAGGTTGTGATAGACAGTAATTTGCCATAAAACAGGATGTGAAATATAAATACTCAATGAGACAAAGTAAAACTCTTCACCCTGCACAGCTGCATTTAATCACTTCACTGGTGTACTCCTTTATAAAGCCAGCACAGCCCTGCAGCTTGATTGGGATGGCGCAAATTGCCTCACTGGGACATAAACAGACTGCTGAGGGAAGAAGGGAGCTGGACTGGGCAGGATTTATCTCATCATTAGTTCATAATGACGGTATTTGGGTTGATAGAGGGATTACCTCAACACGCTGTGCCGGATAATAACAATGCAAAGCACAGACACCTCGTAGGCAGGGTGAGAGATTAGCTCAGGAGCCGTCGTGCCGACATGCGACGCAGCCAGACACCAAATAACACAACTGGATACACTGGGAGATGGATAAAATGGAATACACATGCATAAAGCAAAAATCATGCTTAAATCATTTCTACATAATCTGACAGATACGTTTTGAGTGCTGGTGTCTCACCCACCTACACAAACAAACACAAAAGATACTTTTCAGAACAAGTTGTACAGATTAGCACTAATTTCCTGGAGGCTTTCCTTCACCTCCTCCAAAATTACATTTCATACTACATTGCTGATTCTAAATCTTAACCCTAACAAGGACATAAAGCAGTGTACTTTGTGCTAAAATCAGTTGCTGGGAAATTCAATTACGTTTTCCCAAGTCGTCCAAAAACAACTGGCCTGTAGTCTAACGTCTGACCCTAAAAAGAGGCCAGGATGACCACAAGCACACAAAGTGATTCATCTGTGTTGCACACATAATGCATGTGCTAAACATGCACACGCAGAATAGCAACCAAGTGACAAAGTCAATAAATCTGCAGCACACTACGCAAGGAGACAGAGTCTCACAGTGTTAGCGTCACACAAACAAAGTCGCGGCCTCTGTGACTGTCCACACACACTCGAGTGACAAAAAACCCAAGCGTGGATTAAGAACCACGAGTGTGACGCTGTGCGTTTACGGAAACATGATATTGTTATGGAAATTAGTTCCGCTAAGCCACTAAAATGAGCTACAACGGACAAAAGAGTGGAATTGAATTGCGAGAAGAAAACGTTCATCCTATCTCTAGGAATGCAAAGCACGGCTCGTTGTGGATTTACTGCAAATGAACATCAAGCATTGGCTCACTGTACTCCCAATATTTCAGTGTGCAAAGCAGGCACATATTCACGTCTGATGCCTTATCAGATCAAGACAATACACTAATACGGAAACACACACACACTGTATGTGAGGTCAGCTGCTTTAAACATACAATCAGACCCACTATTCTGAAGGTTAAAATTAGTCATTTTTCACACAAGACTTAACAAATGTCTCCCTGCAGTGTTTTATGGAAACGTGACATTCGTATTCTGCTCTGCACATGAACACATTTTCCCCCTTTCTGCTATTCTCTCCAAGCCACACACACACACATAAACTGTATGCTCTGGTGCCCATCACCCAAACACTCTCCACCAGCTCCTTTAAACACTCCATCCCCTCTCTCACCTTGGTTTTACACCCTACTCACAATTTTCCACTCCTTTCTTTCCCATATTCCTCCCATCTTTTGAAAAAAAAAAATCCACACAAGCACTTAATGTGTGTCTGTGAAGACACACACTGCACCCTCTGTCTTTCAACTGCTGCCGTTCTTATTCATACAGTCACTCACAGAAACTCAGTCGATCCCTATAATCTTCTTCCCTTCTCCACTCACCCTTCACCAGCACACATACACACTCAGCTTATGTGTGTGGGTGTGGGTGTGTGTGTGTGTGGGTGTGTGTGCATGCCTCTGGTGTACAAGTGTGCCAGACCATCAGTGTTGCTCACATGCATGTTACGAGGCGGCCATGAATCAGATGTTAGCACAGCTTTTTGCCATAAGGACTCCTGCACGACATGCAGTGTGCGTTGAAGCGCTGGCGTGCACAAGCGGCAAGCACGGCACTGCAGACTCTGAGCCGCAGACCGAGAAGGTTTTCATTACGGCACTGATGTTGCAGAGAATATCACGTGGCTGTTTAACTAGGCTTCATATGCGATCTGAGATCATTTTGGAGGCGAGTGTCACAATTTGCAAAATGTTTTGGTTGCATGTTTTACGCCTGCATCTTTCTGAGGTGAAGTTTGTATAAGATACTGTTAATTTTACACGATATGAGGCTATTGTAACCGAGTCAGATTCTATCAACAACTCAGCCATCGAAATGATGGAAGTTCAATTTCTGCAAAGATGTCTCTCGTGTACCGATCCATGTTTAATAGAACTGAGCTGGGTGGAGATAAAGGGACAAACAAGAGAGCAGTGTGAGATCACAGTACTACGCGATGAATGATCAGGCACTAGATTAAAACACTACAGTTGCTTACTATCAAGCACTTTCAATTTGACTGATTTCTGTTCCTCTCCATAATGGAACATTGGATAAGATCCAATAGCAGGCAAACTACCTTCTGCTGCCGGGGGACATTAATCATCACATCTAAATCATTGGAAAAAGAGCAACTGCTTTTGGGGAATGGAGTTCCCATGCTGTGAATGTCAGTCCAGCTCTGTAAGCTGTATTTAAACTCCAGTTGTAATGTGCAGAATCTGTCTAATATGGCAGCAAACAGGGAGCACCACGGCTGAAACACCAGCCATTGCCATTAGCAACATGCAAAAAAGTGTCACCAAAACGAGGTTATTAATGATGAATGTAATTCAATAAATTGAGCAGTTTGTAGCACTTTGAAGCAGGGAAGTAGTTTTTTTTTTTAAGTGCAATAGACATCATTTCCCAGAATTCATGTGCAGTAGTGTAATGAGTGTAAACAGATTGAGTAGAGATGTCTCGGGGCAAAGTGCATGTTGGCTGCTGTTGTGGAGACAGTTTTGTATTCTGATCTCCACTTTCTAGTTGGCACTTTCTGTACAACTTACGGGTTGTTCTCCTGTGTTGTGATTTAGGTTGGTGCAGCTTTTAATAATATAAAAAAAAATTGGCAGCATTAACATTAATTACTTCGGATTAACACTATGCGTTGTCATATTTTTGGGTTTTTTACTTTGCTTTGGTTTTTACTATATATATATAATACGTCAGTAGGTACCCCTCTAGAGGATTTTGAAGATTTAAACTGTCTTAAAAAAAGTCTTTTGCTAACAAGTGGTAGACTTGATTAGACTACAAAACGTTGCCACACCGACTTAGTATCATAAGCTTGTGTTTGCCATAAAAATACTTCATCCTTGCAGTGTTGGCATGCTAACCCGCTAAATTAAGATGGTAAACATTACAGCTGTTCAACATCAGTGTGTTCATATTCATGTATCTTTTGCACCAGCAGGCAGTGAAAGTGCTTCACAGTGCCAGATTCCACATCACACAAGTGGTGGGGTAATAAAAAGGCTAATTGGAAATGAATTTTCTGGAAAAGAAACAAAACATCAGATTTATGGTTTACTCAGTTGTATCAGAGTGTGCTGCGCTTGACTGGTGGTTTTTACCTCTATAAATGAACATGAGAGTCTCCCACAAGCACATACACAGTAGGGGGTCCTTCACCACCAGACGGGAGAGGCGTCCTGTCAGGTGCCCCTCTGTTCGTGGCAAGTCATCAATAATCCCACCGTCCCAGGTGGAGAGCAGCGAAGGAGGGCCTCCATCCCGCTCTCTGCAAACACACCGCGACTGGGGACGTTCCCTGTCCAACCAGAGATGAAATTCAGCACAACATCACAGTTACACAGAAGAGGAGTTTGCAGACGGCGCTGAGCTCCCCGCTGGCCACAGGCTCAGCTGGTGAACAGCTTGTTAAGCCCCGTCCTGTGAATGAGCTAATATCTCTCCTACCTGTTCTTGGGCCCCAGGAGCAGCTGTCTGAAGTACGGACTGACAGCGCACAGCACAGCCGCATGCGCCCAGCCCAGCTCTTTCCCAGAGTCCCCGGCATAGAAAGCCACATCGGCGAACTGCACGCCACGCTCCAACAACCACTGCATGTCCTGGGAGAAGCTGGACTCCTCTACTCGGATGGGGGGGAGACGTGCTGAACGGAGGGAGGAGGGGGAAGATAGATAGGATGAGTTGCGTTAATGAACAAGCACTGCTGAAATTCTGCTTGTCTGCATTTTTAAAAAGTGAAAAGTAAGAAATCCTCTAAATGCGTTTTGTTCAAAGCACCTCAAAAGATTTGTAATATACACGTTTGGTGTACTCATATTTTTTTTTATCTACCGTGTCTTTTTGACAGTGAGTTTTGACAACTGAGATAAATGGGGTGTATGCGGGTATGTGGAGAGAGTGAGAGTGACGGCCATGGTGTAGTGAGATCTTCTGGTAAAAAAAAGACAGTTAAAGGAGAGACTAATGTCATGGTGTGCCCTGCCCTGTCGCTTAAGTTAGAAAAGACGCTTCCAGATGTGTTTGTCTTTGCGCTTATGAAAAACCTGCAAAGATGCGGACCGAGGCTGCTGCACTGGATTTAGGTCTATGGGAGTAATGGAGAAATCGTCATGTCTGTCTGTTCCTCAATGGATTTGTTCCTGCTTTTTTAAAATCTTGAGGGACACAGAAAGTTGACATTAACTAGTTATGATTTAGAAACTTTAAATAAGGTTCATATTTTAAGAAGTTATGGAAAATCCCCACGTCACAGATAAATGATTTTCAGTGAACTGAGTGTAACAGTAAAAAAAACAAAAAAAAGACTGAAAAAATACTGCAGTCAATATAAAAAAAGGGAGAAAAAAAAACATCCTTTATGATCCATGTATTCGTGAATTCAGATTAATAAAAAGTGAAAAAGCAGTGAGCAGGGAAGCAAAGGAAGTGGGGGGATGGGGCTCCACAAATTATTGTCCAATTATATTCCTATTCATGCTTCATACATACCGCTCCTCTGTAGACCTCTTTTTTATGACCTCTCAGATTTGGCCGTGAAAATTGTGCTGTTCTTGAATCAGTGAACGTCATATTTAATGCAAGCTGCCCCATAAGTACAGTTAAGTAGCTTTGGACAAGCACCAATGCCTCTGCCAGCACTTGCTGCGTTTTTGGCTGGACTTACAGTTGTCAGTCATTGCATTAGATTGAGTAGCAAAGTGGCCAGATCAATATGTAACACATAGTTTGTGTTAAATGTTTTCAGGTGCTGTATTTTGTAAAAAAATAACCTGTGTGGAAAAAATGCTGAAATGGCAATAGTAGAAGAAGAAGTAGTAAACTTCAACCAGAATTAGTTCTAATGATGTCATTTCAAATAAAACATTACCACAACCAGGAATGACAGATGATCAATTAGGAGAAAGAAAGTGCCAAAGTCTAAAAAAGTAGAACATTAAGAGAAAGGAAAAGCACTCCAGCGTGGCTCGTTTCTTTTAAGCTTTGGAAAATAATCAACCTTACTGTGTCTCAGTTTCAGCTTCTTTTGATCGTTGTGTCCAGTATAGTCATTTATCTCCTCTCTTAATTAGCCTTTTGTGTTTGCAGAATCTGATTGGTTTAATAAAGGCAGTTTGATTAAGTCTACAATAGAGCTACAGTCTGCTCCAAACTAAAACCTTTTGACAAAAAGTTCAACGGGGCTTGTTTTGAAATTCATTTGAAATTCTGAATTTAAGCAGATTAAAAACTCAATTAAAGTTTAAACAATTAGTTGATGCTTAACTTGCAACGCTTTGATAATCAATTGACTGTTTCTCAAACATTCTCTGATGCCAGTTCCTCAAAGAGGAAGGGTACATACAGTAAGAATGTGTCTGTTTTGTTTGACTGAATATCCTAAGTTTCTGTCACGAGACAGAAAAAAACATTTTCAAATGTAGCCCTGCAGCCCTGAACTAAATCTGTCAAAGCCGAGATAAAAACATGAAGTTTCAGTACTATGCACACAAGTTAAAAACACATGACGAAAAAAAATAAACGCATTATTGATGCCTAAACACCTAAACGAATTGGGAACATTTGGTTAAAGACAACGGTCAATAAGTAATCTACCACTGAAATCACTGCCTCAGAACAAGGCACTAAACTCTCAGTTGTTGTTGTGTTTGGTGCTGAAAAGAGCTCAGTCTGAAATTGATTCAAATGTCATGGAATAAAAGTAGTCCAGCTAGCTCTTTGTCTGTCCTCTTATTTCCAGTTTGGAACAGAGAATATTGATCTGGATAAGAACCTTTGTGCTTAGCTTGTTTTATGGCTATGTAAGCTGGAAGAAGAAGCAATCCAGTCAGTCTGATTGAGTGTTCTCTACACAGCACAAAGTATTACTAAATATAAAGAATAGTTTCCATTAGTTAAATTTGTAAAATAGCTTAAAGGGGTTAAAACTGACCAGACGTGAATAGATGCCACTTTAAATAAAAGCAATATTAGTTTTTAGATACCATAGTAATCCTCTGACCTGGTTGTTCTAAGTGAGGGGGACGGAGATCGTTCACTTTATTTCCTCGCCTCTTCTCCGGCCTCTCTTTGGCTTTGTGTTTCAGACACTGAATCATGAAGTACTCCAGCTGTACAACACAGAAATGCATGCGTTAGTACAAAACAAACGCAAGGTACCAAAATAGTGTTGTTACATCATCAATTCTTAGCTTTGGAAACAACTTCCTGAAAAGGCCGACGTAGCCACCTGTCCCTGTCTCCTCTACTAAGAGCTGTACCTATCTGAAACGCAGAGTCGACTGAGTTTTAACAAACGGGAAGATTATGAAAAGTTTAAGAATTCATATTTTACGGCTCGGTCACTACCTGTGTGAGGAGACACCACTTACCACGCTGCCAAAGTAGCGCCCCACAAAGACGTGGTTGAGAGAGGGCAACTCCAGGTAGGTGGCCCCCAGGTCCCGGGACAGCTGCAGACCTTCACTGTGAGGCACACAGCTGCTCCAGTCAGACGCACACAGTGGGCACGTGCATGGAGGGCCTTCATCTGAACACAGAGAAGAGAACTCTGTTCTAAGATGAACTCATTCAAACTGTATAAATAACTGAATCTGATAAATAGTTAATGAGGGCATTTGAGAACCAATACATTTAGATCTGTAATGTCAATGCCCATGCCAGGCATGGATGAAAACATGTTTTGAAGAAGTCAGATTAAAAAAATGTGCACACTGTAGTGATAGTTCTCAATAAATTCAACAGATTGATGTTTGAATGTAATAGACACCGGTCAGGCATTGTCAAGTTACAGTGCGGCATTATACTGTACAGTGTCAACCCATCACTCAGGGGGTTGTGATCTGATTAAGAGTCAATCTAGTGTTCCAACACAGACAAAAATGCTGCAAAATGTCTAAAATACATCAAACAAGAAAATGTACTAAATCACAAGAATTCAGTAAAATACAAAACATGACACTCAAAACCTGTTTTGTTAAAATGTTTCAGTGCTTAAAAGGATTAAGTGAAAAAAACAAAATACCTTGTTTCACATTTCACAAACAAAATTAAAATAGAAAACACATTTGGCAAAACAGAACATTAAAACCAGATGCCACAGCCACATGGGCTTTGATGGTGTGGACTGGCCCTTCTTCGTAATTACACAGTAGTAAACCAATGAGGATATTAAAAGGTGGTCTATTTTTCCATTTTGTGAACAATTGATGTTTTCTGCTTTGTAGTGTTTTGCAATGTTGGTTCCTGGCATGTCATTGGATCTTTGGTTTTGGATTTGTTTCGCATCTTGAAGAAAAAGCTGAAGAATTATATTGCAACAACAGAAAAGATGGATGATCATTGGCTCAGCAAAGCGCATGTGCACTAGGACCAGCCTGTACCACCAACCAGTAACATGTGTGCATGGGGACCAAAGAGGCAGAATCCAACAGAAAATTTGGAGGGATTAGCTTGAAGGACAAAAAAAAAAAAAAAAAGACCGGCCAAATGAGGAGAGGACCAGATATAAAAGAGAGAATGAGCCCAACATACAGCTGAGCACTGAGGCATTTCATAAATCATACTGCTAACAAAAGAAATTAAAGGCATAGGGACGGAGCTGGACAGAGTGACTGTGTGTGTGTGTGTGTGTGTATGACAGAGAGGTGGAATGGAAAGCATGAGTGTGTGTTCGAGCAGCTGACAGGCGGTGACTTGGCATATCAGTGGCATGTTAGTGTGCGTGCGTGCCCTTGGATAAATCTGTCTGTGCTCCTGCGTTCGGCTCTGGTTTAATGGCTGTGTTAATGCACGTTCGGCAGCGACTCTCTGCCACAGCTGTGCCTTAGGTGGTCTAAAGTCGAGCAGCAGCAGGAAGCGCTCAGAGCACAGCCGTCGCTCTCTGCAATCATGAGGGGATAGCATGAAAATACTCACAGCAGCCGCAAAACAAGTACACAAACAAAGGCTCTGGTCTACATCTCTCCCTCCCTCTCTCCCTCCCTCTCTCCCTCTCTCTCTCCCTCTCTCCGGCAAAGACTTGACTTACACTGTGATCATTGTGCAGCGGAGCTCTGACAGGATCTCAAAGTGTGTAGCTAAAAATACAACCTGGTGCATTTGATGAGCGTCTTTGCGGAATCTGGATTCAATAAGGGTCAGTGTGTGTGTGTGTGTGTGTGTGTGTGTGTGTGTGTGTGTGTGTGTAAAAACACATACAGACCCACTGAGGTACCAGATGCATGTGTGTACATTCCTGATGTGTTAAGCAGCCTCCAGTAATGCTACACCTAACAAACTACTGGTATGGTGCACTTTTGATTTTCATGTATATTTAAGTGCTGGGCGAGCTTCTTGTCTGCTTGCACGGCCAAAAAATATGAAACTTGATGTCTCGCTTTGGTGAGTTTCCAGCAGGCAAGCATGTGAGCTGACCCCATGAAGGCAGCCAAGAGGAGATCTAATCATGAGCATCCTCCTCCTCATTGCTGGGAGGTCACCCCAGAGGACACACAAGGCTCGGAAAGTGGCGAGAAGAAGGCAATATTGTCCTGCAATCAAACTCAACAACTGAGGCAGCAGTAAATCATCTGTAAAATACCAGGATATCAAGCACAATGGCTGAGAGATAAGACATTTTTGTATTTGCAGCCTCTCAAACTCCATTGTTCCCGCACAACAATGACAAACTGTTTGGGGAGCCAGTTGTTGAAGGCAAAACTAAAACTCAGGCTGGCTCCATCAAAAAACACACAGGACAGAAAAGCATCCTCACCGTTCAGCCGCGCTCCAACAGCGACCAGGATGACGGGCACACCCCAGTGCCTCAGGAGCGGGCGGAGTCTCGGGGCGTAGCCGTTCCTCACCTGCTGGAAGGCCAGCTTGTCTGTGACTGAATATTTAATGACCAGGATGTCAGCCTGCTCAAGAACTTTCCGTACGCTTGCCCAATCGCTGTCCAACAAGTCCTGGGAAGGCAAGAACAGCACGACAAAAAAAACAAACAGCAGGAGGTCAGATGACATACTGAATTGTCTGAACACCCAACCAGTCACCCTCACCTTAGATAACCGTAATCCTTCCCCTCTGACTCCCCTTAAACACCTCAGTGTGGTGCTCGGGACTTTACCCCCAAGGACCCGAGTGAGGCTATAGCCGCTCACTCTAAACCGAACTGACTCAACTCATTAGGCAGGAGAAAAAAAACACCTCAGAAAGCGTTGAGCAATTTGAATAAAAACAAGGACAAAGAGCCATAGAATTAGACTGACAGACTTTGTGCCGCACCGCCCCTGACATAGTTAGACAGCCCTATAATAGGCGCATAGAGTGCTGCTATATAACAACAGTGCTTTCATTTCACATTCACATGCCATTAAGAACAAGAAAGTTCTTTCGTTATTCTTTTTTTCGTGTGCATTGCATGTTAAAATAGCATCCTCCTTAAACTAGAGACATTTTTTTTTTTAAAGCTTGCAATCAGCCCTGGAAGGCAAAAGGCTTTCTGGAATTTGAAATGTTGTTCGTCTTATGAGAAACAGAAGCAGAGTGAGAACGTAAACAGCATACCAGTGTCAAGTGACACATTCTTTCACAATGACAATGCGCTGGCAAAATTACCCCTCATTTTTATGTCTTGTTTTTTGCCCTCTTGTCCTGCCCTGACCTTCCTGTGAAAAACAAGTCAGATTTGTTATCGCACAAGCTTTAAGGTCCAGGGGGTTAGAGTCAAAGCAACACCATAAATTACTCCTTAAGGGTCCTTTTCAATATGCAAATTAGGGGTTGCACACATGTATGATCAAAAATAATTCAAAGCAAAGATTCACACTGTAATCAACATATGCAGGTGTCTGTTTTCTCATTCTGTTCTGCACACACAAACACACCACCATGTCTCTCTTACCCAGCTGGGGCAATCCCGAACCACTACAGTGACGTCTCCGAACACGCGCGAGGTGTACTCCATGAAGGCCGGGTTGTGCATGCTGCTCTCCAGGTCGCAGGGTCCCACCAGCGCTCCGTGGCCCAGGTAGCTCCACAGCAGGCCTCCCTGGAGCTGCCCCTGGCCCATGATCTCCTCCCCGGAGCCGACCCCTCCGGGGCACTCGCTGCCCAGAGCCACGATTTGGATGGACCTGTAAACCAGACAACTCGTGGTTGGAGTGACTTGAACCAATCATTTGAAGGCTATAGCGCTGAGGTAGATAGGAGGCACATTTTGGTCCACATTTTTGTCTGTCACGGAGACAGTGCATCACCATTATGACACTGAAAATGTCTGAGAAAACCTTGCCAAGGCCCTAATAGGCTACACCTGAGAGGGATTGTGGTCCAATAAAGCAGACACTTTGAGATATTCTCGGCGATGCATTGCCTATGAAGCAATGTAGCCTACCAGGAAAAAAAAAAGCATGCAACCAGGAACCCCCCCCCCCTCTGCTCATATGCCTAATGAGTTGCAGCTTCACAGCAACTTACATTGTGGTCACCGCGGTTTCGTTCAGCTGCTCTACGCTATGGAGCCCGTTACCCTCGCGGTGCGTTTTCCTCGCCAGTCTGCAGTCAGACACGGCTTTTCCGCAATGAGCCGCGGCTCCGCTCCGTCGTTAATCCCTCTCATCGGTGGCTGCCCCCCCCGGGAGCACGGCTGCTGCTGGGGAGTTTCGCGGTCACTCGCATTTCCCCGTCTCGTTATTCATTCATAAAAGCGGAGACCCCGATACCGTCCCGAACCCACCGCAGAGGTGCACCGGACAGCCCAGCCGGCGGAGCAGCAGAGAGTGCGCGCGTGTGTGTGTGTGTGTGTGTGTGTACAGCTGCGCCCATGGGCAGCCAATGCGCTAACAGACAAAACAAGTTGTCAGTCGGTAGGAAACACAATTAGCGACGAGGAGAGGGCAGCCTCGCGCCTCGGCGGCCAGACCACATGAATGACGTCGGCGGATAAAACAAAGTCTCGGTGGCAAAGAACAACTGGAGGGAGAGAGAGAGAGCGCGCGCGAGTGAGAGAGAGCAACGGACTGAGCAGAGAATGGTCGCGCCTGACTCAGCAACACGCACGCGGGCATACGCGTATAAGCAGCGCGCGCCAACAAACACACACAAACACCCGTTCCCCTGGCTAGCAGGAAATGACAATTTTGGTCAGTCAAACATAGTTTTTCACCTTATTGTCATTCCAAAGCTTATGGTTTCACCTCTAACCAATTACAGAGCTAGAGCTTTATTCTCTGGTGTGTGCGCCAATAACTTCCGTTCTCTTGTCCATGACTCACAAAGACAGACACTGAACTCCACCACATGAATATAATGAGCAAGTGTTAGGAGATTGTTTGCTAATGCAGCAAGAAAATATAAACTAACTGGCTTTAGGGATGTTTTGCAGTGGGAGTCAGTCAGTGGTATAGGTGATAATGAGATCTTATAGTCCCTCTTGGACATGCTACAGGGGCTTTCAGAGCATTTAAAAAAGGAAAAATAGTCTAAGGTTTTATCAGGGCCTGCTGTCATTCATAATCAAGATTAAAAATGCAAGACATAAAACCAACCCGAGAGCTATTTAGAAGGCCTTGGATTTGAATGCCCTGCAACACAGTGATCCCATGCTGCTTGCATGCTGTGCAGTGCTCTCCCTCTGGAATAAGATGCACGAGCCCTGCTAAGCAGTTTGCCCTCACAGTCTGCTCTTTATCTTGACAAGGAGCCCTCTAACTTGACCTATTGCAAACGACCATCTGCACATAACGGCACCTGCTTTGTATCAAGACTCTCGATTTAACCACCTAATAATATTTTAAAATTTCATGTGTAGTAACTTCGCAGAAGTGCTCACTCCTCTCATTCCATGTAACCCAGGGCCCCTGTGCAGTTCTTGATTGTATTCAAAGCATCACATAGGCGGAGGCTTCAGGCTGGGTTGTGCGTTTGCTGTAGGCTACAGAGACTTGCATCATTCATGCACAGAAGAACATCAAACCCCATAGCCTTTGTGTTGCAGTTCTAGGGCCATGCCACTCTTAGCCTGCACAATGGGTACGGAAACAAAGAAATAATCTGAACGTGACAAGCTGTCTTGACTCTTTACATCCCATATGATGACTATGCAACAAACTATAATTCAACTTCAAGGTTTTATTTTTCATACAAGCCAGATAAACAACCTCACCTTTTTGCAATAAGTGTATGACAGCCTCGTACTCAAGACTTGAAATTATATCAGAAATCTTTTTAAGATGTGGGTGTTTTTCCAGACAGAGAGTGTCCAACAGAGGATGCTATTAAGATGCATTATGGGAATTGTAAGAACCAGCATTTTTGTGAAAATTTCAAGGTGTCTCAAATGCTGCTTCACCAATTTTGACCAATCCATTGGCCGACAAAACATGTGCAAATAATATGCATCAGGGGGTCATGAGGTGCAGGAGTGAGAAGCAGCTCCTTTCAGCGAGCTACAGTACCTGTCGGAAGCTGTTGTCAGTGTCAACACACCTTTCAACAACCTCAGGGACTGTGTTGGCTTGGTATCCTCAGCAACTTTTTTTTTTTTACAGTTGCTCAAAGAATTTTTTGCCAATGAAAAAGAAACATGTCACAACACAAATCCCAGATGCTGGAATCTACGTAGCCTGTGACCTGATATACATATTTTCTGATGTTATCTGAGGGAATAAAACAGACATGAATGTTACAAAAAAAGTGGCCAGTATTGTGGTATGATCTTTATATTTTAACAATTTTCCACTTTTGGAAATTATCGATCAGTATAAACCTTTTTTATCTCAATAATTCATTCACTGTATGCATAATACATGAGGAAAATTGAAATGCAGAGGGATACACGAGTATGGATACATATTCAGCTCATACATCTATAATACATATATATATATATATATTATATATATATATATATATATATATATATATATATATATATTATACATATATAATCCCAATTTGAGATACATAAATCAAAATTCACAAATAAAAAAATTTTATTTTGTGAACTCCATGATTGTTTTGAAATGCTTTTGTCCACCTTACACAGCAATAAGTGACATATTTTTTCAGTAAAATTTTTTAATATCATGTAAACAACTAGCAAGGCACACATGAATCCATTTAACATTTTAAAACACTGGTTTTACTATTATGTTTTCTTCTCAGCTGCTGCAACTTTGTCCCTTTCCACCTTGCCCTTCTCTCCCTGGAAGAAGTCTGACTCGATCCAGCACGTGTCCTCAGAGAGCTTGACATAGACATTCCCGCTGGTCTCAGTGACCGTGTGGATCCGCTGCTTCACACCTTTGGAGTACCATCTGGGCACAGGCTGCTTTTCCTGGGGGTCCCTGGCCTTGTACATGCCCTCCCCTTTGGCAAGAGAGATCTTGTACTTGTGATTTGGACAAATTATGCACAGCTTGCCAGCAATTTCCTGTGAGTGTGTTGAAAGAAAGCAGGTAAACAACCTCATGTGGGATGAGTGTAGGTCATTTAGGCCCTTCAATGTGAGCATAACATTAATTTAATGTTATGCAGGTTGGGTATCTTAATTACAGTGTTTCTCTGCCTCAGCACAGCAGTAAGGGTTGCAGTGCAGATGGAACAGCCTGTGAAAGCATGCATGTGGCAACAAAACACAAAAGTACTGTACTTAACTGAAATGGCATTTTGTTTTCTTTGCTGTGGGCCAGACACAATCTCTTAAGTCAAATGTAAACCTCACCTCAATGTCTCCATTCTGCAGTATTCCCCCAGCATCTGTCGAGAGGATAGAGCATCAGTGTATTGCAGAGTAAGCAAACAGTTTAGAGTACACTAACCTTTTGCTGACTGGACGCAATTTAGAAGTGATATGAGCTAAAATGTTCCATGGATAAAAAAGCAAAGCAGCTCACTGTTAAATACCCCATCACAGGATGTCTATCAGCAGCAATTTGAAGCAAGCACCAGTTTCAACAGACAAGAATACATGTTGTTAGATGAAGTCAGCCAATAATATACTTTTCATATATAATAACATTTGGCATGAAAAAACTAAAGCATGATGGTCGCGCTTTCCCTCTCTCACAAGCAGCAACTGTTTAGAGAAGAACTGAACTCACGATAGCAGTAAGAATCCATAGCATAGAAGACGTTCTGGTGGTAGATGATCAGTATGTCCCGACTCTCTAGTGTTCTGAAAGAGCGCTTTGCTTCAATCAGTTCTTCTTTCTTCCCCACAAAGTGAGGCTCTCCAGTTGGCTGCTTCTCCTCCTCCATGGCTCTGTGAAATGCTGCTTAGAAGGCCAGTAGAAACTGAAAACAATTTAATCACAATTCAGTATTTATCATATAGAACTGTGTTATTTTTCTTTGCCAAATCTCGATATTGGTTGTAACAATCCTCCAGTCAATGCCATCTGTGCAACGCGGTAACTATGCTGTGTTTCTGGGTCAGATCTTCAACTTAAATCTCAACTCCACATGAAAAATGTGGCTTTTGGATTCGTCACTGGCACATCCCATCACAGTTGTCATCTTAAATTAAGTCCACAACACCTTCAGAACATGCAGCTTGAACATCTCTTGGCACTGATGTCTACTCCAAACATACTCAGACCTGCAATACTAATCCCTAATATCTTTCTATCAGCACCAGTTTAACCATTGGATATACACATGTGGAATCATATCTATCCAAAGTTGAAGGATTATTTCTCTAAATACAAAATAGCAGACCAATCGAGTGCCTGATGATTGCAGTATGTACAACCTACATGAATGTCATTACTGTACAAAAGCATTGGTCATCTGGAGCCCGCAGTCCTACATCCATGTGTAATCTATGTGACAGTCAGTACACATAAAAATAATAAATGGATGGAGTGGAACGTGAACCCAAGTGTGATTCCTGTATAGTGGAGTGGAATAACGAGTTCAGTGCAGGCTGAGTAAGCACAATAGTAGTGGCAGCGAAAGTCACATGTCCTGAGGCATCTGGCTGAACCACAGACAGCTACATGCTAAGAATGAATAAAACCAAGATCATTCTTTATGTCAGGAAAACAAAATATTTTCTTTAACCCTCCTGTCGTGTTCGTTTCTCCCCCCTTACTTTAGTGTTTCCGGTCAAATTTGACCGGTCTGTTTTAACTGCTCATGCTTTAACACAAAAAACATTAATCATCACCAAATTTTATTTAACACCCTTTTAAGCTGTAAACAATGTCTCAGACTAGTGGTTTATATGAATAACTGCTGTGAATATGCAAAGAATAGACACTGAAAATGTATCGCTAAATTAAGTGAGCCTATGGGACAGATTGGTACAAATCCTTTAAACTTACATTATGTTTATGCATCTGTCTGTCTGACTCTCCCTCACCCCATATATATTTTACACGAAAATAACAAACCATGTATTTCCGGTGAGTTTTTGCCTTTACCTTGAAACTCAGCAGCAGTGTCTCCTCTGTCAAGTTGAACAACTGTACTGCTGACAGCTCGGCTGGTGTGGTAAAGTCGGCCCATCTCTATTATCTTCTGACACAAGCTGTCTTCACTTGATCCTATCATGGGTACATTTCTTATCTGTCTCCCACAGGCTAAACAGCTATTCATTAGTAAAAAAATATACATATTTAATCTATCATACAAAGAAAAGTAAAGGCAGAGCCAGAGGGAATATTATTATTAATACACATATACATATAATACACATATAATACATATTAGTACAATGAATTTATTAAATAATACATCATTATAGATGCATACCCAACAATATATAAAGTCGTTACAATTAGAACAGAAAGCAATATTGAACAAAATTATCCCCTACATATAACTTGTAGTATTATATAATAATCATATAGCATTACAATGTTATATGATATCTTAACAAGGAGCACTTTCATTTTTATTTAAGTATTTTTAATAAATAATATAATATATATAATATTTATTTTATTTCCAGTGGAAGGAGCAGCGAGTACTGTCAAAGCAGTTCTACAAAGCGGAACTATGTATGTCCGTCATCAAAGAGACCCGGATAGATTTCTTAGAGCACCACAGAGATATCCGCACGGTGACGAATAGAGCTCACATATTTAAGTAAGTAACTACTCGTCAAACCTGCAGTCTGTGTTCGTGAAAGGTAGAACAGCGAGCATTTTGAGTAAAGTTAGAAGAGCAGACAGTATAACACACGGAGCAACTGATCTGCGCGAGCGGAGAAGTAAGCTAGCTAGCTAGCTAGCTAACGTGACATAAATGCTAACAGGCTTATTTTCTGCACAGGTGAACAATCATTGATGATACAGCAGTGTTGTACGCGGGTCTGTAAACGAGGGAGGTCTGTCACAGAATCAGCAGCACAGGTTGCAGCGTGCTAGCTAACGTGAATGCCCATCAGTCACAGCGATGTAGGAGTCATTTGATTTTCTGCTACAGGCTAATCAAGTCAAAAGCAACACTGCTGAACTTTGTCCTGACTCACCAGCAAAGGCTAATATTAGGCCAATATGTTGAACTGGACAACCTGAACTTTAGCCTAATAGAATAAAGGGAGCTGGTGATATTGTCCAGTCTTTCCCACGTGGATGCACCCCCATACTGTTGGATATTTTGTGTGGGAGAGGGATCTTTAAAATGTCTCATTAACAGATTATAAACATTAAGTTAAGCTTAAATGTTAGCATCAGTTTGTACGTGTTAGTCAACACACTTGCACTTTTACTGAACATTTGTTAAGGTGTAATTTTGACTGCATGTCATCTGTGTCCCATAGACTTTAACTGTCAATTTAGTTGTTTCTACATTATGGTTACATGTACATTGAGAAAAAATAAACGTTTTTCACTCTACATTTGAACTACGTTGTCATGTAACCATTGTGTAATCCAGGGTAATGTAACCCATTCCCCCTCAAAAGTGCAAAAGGTCACTTTTTCATTTCTTCATTAAAACCTGACCTTGGCTCTAATGGACGGGTGACTTGACAGCACACACTGCACACGTGATGCAAACTGTGTTTTGTGTGACTTTGTTGAACAGGGAGATGGCGCTGCGTGCTTGTGGCTTCATAGTGTTTCGTCGTCTGGCCGGTTGTATCCCTCCACCAGACAACATCGAGTACCTCCTCTTGCAGACCTCTTATGGGAAGCACCACTGGACCCCACCCAAAGGTGTTTACAAGTTCAAAAAATGTACATTTATCGTGTAGTTGAGTGTAACCCCTTATGAGCTAAATTCCACTCATATAGCTTTAAATGTAGCTTTAAATTTTGTCTAACCTGTTCACCATCAGGTCACGTGGATCCAGGAGAGGACGACCTCACCACAGCTCTGAGAGAGACCAAGGAGGAGGCGGGGCTGGGGGCGGAGCAATTGCAGGTGATTGACGGCTTTGTGCAGGAGCTGTGCTACGAGGTGCAAGGCAGACCCAAAGAGGTGCTGTACTGGCTGGCCGAGCTGAGAGACCCAGGAACAGCGGTGGCTTTGTCTGACGAGCACCAGGACTACCGTTGGGCCCGGCTGGAGGACGCTTGCACTTTGGCTCAGTACAAAGACCTGCAGGACACACTGAGAGCGGCACACAGACACCTGGAGGTTCAGCGGGACAAGCAGCGATGAACCAGGACGTACACTGCAGAAGGGAAAGCTGGCATGTTGGTAGAGCACCCAATTTACAATTTATGTGGTTGATGATATGTCTCTGTGAGGTTCAAATAGCGTTGAGTTAAACACTTTGTCCGTACGATACTGCATGATTTAAGGCTGAATAGATTACCTTCTGTCAAGACAAAGGTGAGTAGGGAGGAAAAGAATGAATGCTTGAAAAACCGATTACTGATTTGATCTTAGCTACACAAAACCAAAAACATTTTCTGTCTTTGGAAGCCATGTGTTACGAGGTTAGATATATACATATCTTAAATGTAAATAAGCTAAAACACAAAAGAAAAAGAAAATCATGGAGATGGACACCCACTTAATATTCCCTGGTACTCGGTGGAGCAGTGTAAACCTGAGGAGAATGATTTGAATCCATCTGTAGTTAGAATTAAATGTGTTGAAAATAAATAGAACATTTTTTTGTGTACCTGAATATTTATAAAACCTTAATTTATAATGTGAAAATATACACAAGGGGAAGTCATAACTAAAAAAAACACACAAAAGACAGTATCCAATACTGGAGTACAAAAACATTGCTGAAGCAAAAATGATGAACTGAATCAAATGAAACTGCTAGCAGTAGATGTTGCCACTGGGTGGAGACAAAACCCAGAAACCTGATGGTGATCATCATGGACTACAAAATACTGGAGGCTGTGGAAATACCAGTAAGCTCAGTAACAGCCTTCAGCCTTTTTTCTTTTCAACAGTCCTCAGCATCCATCCAAGAAACATGAGATACGCCTTTTACTTTAGCAAATGAGTTCCTGTCCAGAAATGAAAAGCCAGTAATGGGGATCATTGTGTTAGAGACCATGATCATAAAATGTAAGAGAGACTATTATTATGCAATGATTCTGGGTGAATGTACACATTATCATAGATGTCAAACAATGAACACCATGTTCATTTTTTCTTATTATACCAATGAAACCGTTTATGAACAGGCAGTGGGGGATTTAAGACAAACAATGTCATTGAAACAAGTCACCATTGGCACCAAATCCTCATTTTGAGATGAGATGATTGAGCAGTGGGTTGTGCACTCAGCCTGGACATGATACTCTTTATTTTTATTAAATCAACCTCTCATATTGTTTAACAATCAGTGTTACATAATCATATTGTACTTCATCGATGTAGTACAAACCTGAAAAGCAGTAACTAGCACACATATATACGAGCACTTTTTATCCAAAGTGCTCGTTCTGTCACAAGCAAACGGTGAAACTCAAGTGGGACTCCCAACTTGATCCTGGTCACTGGCACCACCACACTGTACTCTATACGGGGACGTTCTGCTTCCAATATGCTGCGGGATCACCAGCCTCTGCTGAAGGGTTGAAATAGGCGTAATTAGAGGAACAATTGTGTTCTTGCAACTCATTAAGCTGAGTGGAAGCGCTCACTTCAATTTACTGCTATTTGTCTTCTGAGTATTGTAAGGACACAAGAAACGGCAGTAAACTTGAGGTCAGTGAAAGGGCCTTTCCACTTTCACAAGGCGTACACAGTTTACTGTAGAGTAACACTGTGCATTGAGCAAAAGCTGAAGTATTGCTTTGAGACCCATCAGGGCTTCAATAAACCAGTAATTAATTTCATGCCTGTAGAGCAGAAAAGCTCCTCTCCCAGTGATAAAACACAGCGAAGTGTTCTCCATTGAAACAGCAGTTCTTTTCGTGATTAAACATTTCCTCTGCAACATGTTAGTTCAAATGTCATCTTATTATAAGGTAAGATATAAATCTTTTTTATGCATTCGGTGTCATAAGGACTTTTAATTAAGGTGGAATTAACTACTATAATGCTGTACAAGCTTTGGCCATCGAGGAACCTTTAAGGGTCAGTTCACCATGAAAAAATGTGAATAGTTTGATTTAATTTTTCAGGATTTGAGGTATTCATTTTTATTTTTTTTTAAGGTTTTCACTTCCACTTCAGGAAGGTTCAGCGGAGGTGAATGGAATTCTGTTAGTGGTGCTCAAAGCTTTACAAGAAAACATTGAACAGCAACGTGACCATGTCACACTGTCAAACGATTTCATAGGGACTATTTTCTATAACACCTGTTGCTGTAGGGTTTTTTAAAATGTAATTTTCTTCCACAAGACACAAAGTCCCGTTCAAATCAATTGTATCAAGAGCATAAGCAGAACTCTCTGATCACATCTGGACAAATTAAACCAATATGTATGACTAGATACCACTAACAGTGTATTTATATGTAAGTCGGGTGAACCAAAACTTTAAGCACATAATACATTTACCGTAGCACACTAATTATCCATGTAGCTTGTAGTAGTGACCAGTTGCCAATAGCAAAATAAGGGGAAAACCTTTCGACAGGCTTCAATGACACCGTTTTATTTTTGAATGATTTCCCAACTTAACCACAATAACTGTATACCACCATTTGCATATCAATCCTATTTCTACTCCAAAAACCAGCTCACCGTGGGCTTAGCGACAGATATCAAAGCTATACTGCAAACAAACCCAACAATGTATAATATTTTTACAATAGAAACTTTATGAGTGACATTTGCATCTTCACAAACACAAAAATGATGAGGAATAAAATGACATAACATCAAAGAAAAGAAACAAGGACAGCTTTAACATCAATGTGTGGACACACGCAGGTCAGTCCAAGTGTGTGACCATGCGAAGGTACACACTTGGAAAAAAAATACACACATGTGCACACATGCTCACACACACCCAGGTTAAATGAACTAAATGATTTCATTCAGGCCTTCGTAACGGTGTGTATGGAATAACATCTCATCTTAAACTGCAGCGCTTTTTTGTGTCATTTCTTAGGTTGGGATTTGGGAACTATCGTAATCCCTCAGAGAAAATGATTGTTTGATCTCCTTCCCTCAAAGGCCCCCTGAGCTCTTCTCCACCTGCCCTCCTTATAAAAACAAGGCATACATTAAAGTCAAAAAAGAGGATTTTAAGTTTGAAGATCACTGTAATGTGCTCTCTTAAGGGCAACACTACGCCTCAACTTCACTCTTCACAAGATCAATTCTAAAAATGCAGATTCTGATTTCTAAATTCATGATAAGCTTATTTGTTTTCTTGCCTAGAGTTTGATGAGAAGATCAATGACACTCGCTTGTGTCTGTTAAGTGTGAAGCTAATGCCAGCAGCTGGTTAGCTTAGCTTAGCTTAGCACAAAGACTGGAAACAAAAGGAAACAGCTAGCTAAAGGTCGACTACAGGACGTCTCCTGGCCACGATATTTTTCTTTTTTTAAACAAACAACATACAGCATGTTCAATAGTGAGCTTTAAAGGAGTTGGTAGGTGGATTTTGTTGCCTTTGGAAAGAGCCAGGGTAGCTTCACCTGTTCCAGTTTCTAAATCAAGCTAAGCTAACCTGCTACTGGCTTTAGCTTCATATCAAAAAGGAATAGTTGGCCATTTGGGGAAATACACAATTGTTTGCTTTCTGACAAGGAGTTCGATGAGAACATTTACACGACTTTTATGTCGGTCCGTTAGATACTGAGCTACAGACAGCAAGCGGTCAGCTGAGGTCAGCATAAAGCCTGGAAACAGAGGAAACAGCTAGCCTGGATCTGTCCTGTGGTACCAAAGTCAGCCTACCAGCACCTCTACAGCTCACTCAATAAAACTTTACATCTTGTTTGTTCAATCTTTACAAAACCCTGAGTGTAAAAACAACAATTTTCTGTTTTAAGGGGGGTTTCATGGTGGACTCCTGGAAGTTACTACTACCAGCCAAGAAATAGTTCCACACAACCTCTGCAAAACAAAGAATTGACATTTTTAGACTAAGGGTTTTGCTGTCCTCAACTAAAGAAATTCTTAGCCGACTAATTGATTAGTTGATTTAATAGACAGATCTGTAAAACTTGAGTTTCTCTACAAAGAATCACATAAAAGCACCACTTTAAATCTTGTGTTTACTGGTGATGTGCTCATAAGTATCTTGGAAATAAGTCATTCAACATGAAAAAAGCAAATACTCATTGTCAAAGGAAATCTTAGTCGACAAAAAACACAGATAAATTGACTAATCGACTAAGAGGGTGCAGCCCTAGATTAAATGAGATATAGCTAGACGGAGCCAAACTAAACGTTTCCCTCTTTCCAGTCTTTGTGCAAAGCTAAGCTAAACGGCGTCCGTAGTTTCATTTTAATGCATTAGATTGGTATTGATCTACTCATCTCAGCCACAAAGTAAAGGAGCATATTTCCCCAATATGTCAGACTAGTCATTCAGCAGATGCACATGACATTGGTACATTTCATTTCTATGATTTTACTTCTCTATATGGTGAGGGATGGGCAAAAAAATGGGGACCACATCTAGAGAAGAACAGGATTTCTGGCATTCATCCTCCTCCTGTTGTGCCTTGATATCAAATCCATTAAAGATCCGGTTCAGGAACGGATTTCCTCTCCACGTCCTCACCAGGATCCAGTCTCTGTGAGCCTCCAAAGCACAGAGCCCGTAGGAAATGTTTCACTCCTCTGGTTTCACATTAAAATCCAAAAAGGTATCCCTAACAGAGTTTATTCAAACGGCGTTAAATCCACCACATGCAGCCATTGCTCCATAGTCCTCAAAATGAACGATCGTGGGGCTGTACTTGGTTTCCTTGTCATAAAATCCATCCATTTGAATCAAAGGTTTGCGCAGTGCTCTGTTGTGTTGAAAAGGGCAACAGATTCATACCACCAACCAAAAAACACAACCCAAATGGTTTACTTGATGCCACACAAGTAATATTAGTCACATTATGTCCAGCGTGTCCAAACCTTTAATACTCAGTTTTCTTTCTTTTTTTTTTAAATCAGTCAAATCCTCAGCCAGTCCAGTCCTCACCAAAACAGCACTAGAAAGCAATGTTTTTCAGCTGGACAAAGTCCAAGAGGGCATTTGGGCAAACTCACTAGTGAGACAGAAGTCTGCACCTGTTCCACAGAGACAGGAACAAGAAAACCCTGACATTGTAGTCAATAGATGAATAGTAAATGTAATTATACACACACACACACACACACACACACAACAGGCAATCAGTGTCATATTCATTCAAATGCAAATGTGTCGCTAAGCTGCATGTTGATTTTGTCCCTGTCGATATACAGACTCTGGACATGGTGTAGCACAGCAACAACGTCCAATTTTCACAAAGTCGCATTGGCTCAAAAACGTAACATTTTCACATCTATCGCAACATAATGTGTTCTCAAGGAGAAAGTCCCTACAGGTGCAGTTCGATGTTTTTTAAACTCTGACTCAAGCCGACTAATGAGAAATCAACTTAAAGGACCTTAATCAAGACCAACAGCAACACTCAGTCACGTGTAAACACGCTGGCGGTGGGTTTTTGGAGACTTTGAGTTCACTCTCTGCCCTCTACAACCACCCAGTGACGCAGAAAGTGCAAAAAAAAGTAGGTGGAGGTGAGGAGCCTTTTAAGTTTCTCCTTGACTGGTTTTTCTCTCTCAGTGAAAGTCTATTGAGGCCCTGAGGTTTAAGAGGCAGACAGAGGTGCAGGAGGCGACGTGAGAAAAGGTCAAGACCTTGTCCCCCCCACCCCTCCTAACCAAATGACATTACTTTAAGGGATCATGAGAGTGCAGTCGTGACGGACGTGAAGGTGGGTCCAAGAGGATGGAGTCACGACGGAGCCCGTGTTTGCAATGTTAAGTTGAACAGACAGGCGTGTGAGGGACAGAGTTTCTGCCAGAAGACACACTGAGGGGACAATGACAGGACGAGCCGGCCAGCTCATCGACCGGTTAATGAGCCAAACAGCAAAGTGTCCATCAGCCAGACCGTCGGCGCCCCTCCCAGAAAAATACAGGGGACAAGTCAGGGAGGACAGAATGTCAACCAACTAAACAGAAGAAGTTAAAAACAGCAACAAGTAAAAGACACGGTGGATAGAGACAATCGTTTAACACGGAACCAGACAATCTGACGTGGACTAGCCCGACAAAGAGCCGGCCAGCTACAGCGGGGTTCAAGAAACCACCACGAGGACAGTTTGTTTCCATCATTTATCAAGAACAAAGACGGCTTGTTCACTTTGCACAAGGTTATTTAGAACTGATGAGTGGGATTTTTTGTATCTTTGGGAAATGCTTGTAATTTAAATTCTGATATTTTTTGTCTCACACCATGTATGCAAATGTTAACACATGTACGCTCCCGCACAATGTTATTTATTATGTATTTTAAATAACGAATTAACTGTTAATGCATGGTCATGATAACATGGCTCCGATTTAAAGGCCGGAAAGATTTTCACAAAACCGAGTTATTCTCACCCAAACAAGGACGAGACACAACTGGAGATGGCACTATGGTTTAAAGCAAACATTTTCACGCATCTGCAGCCAAGACGCAAAGCCAACAAAGCAAATAAATTCCTACTCCAGCTGACAAAAACTACAGTTAAAAGACCGACAAAACTGTAGCAGTTAAACTAAATTTTTAATGGCAAAAACAAGTCTGATAGTTTAGCGTGGATTGAACAATACTGAAATTTCACTGTTGACAACCAAGAAAATAAATTCAATGTCATGGTTGCAACCAAACAGCTTACAGTGCAGTCCGTGAGGAGCTGGTTGCAGGAAAGAGTAATAATAATAATACAGGGAATAAAAACACGGCGGTGGAAATATTCAGGCATGGGGGATGTTTTGCCTCGTCTGGGGTCAGTAACTTGCACAAGATTAATCACACACTGGCCGTAGAGGGACACCACTCTGTTCTGCAGAGGCATGCATTTAAAAAAAAAAAAAAAAAAAAAGTGATATATAACGCAACCTCAAAAACACTTTGGGGGGGTGCTCTCAAAACAGTGCTGGAATAATTTCAACTCTCTGCAAAACATCTGATGCCAGATGGAGTGCAAGCTGTAATTAAGGCAAACGGTGGAAACACACAAATTCTGACTTTGATTTCGACTACAACTATTGTTTGAACGACCATTTGTTTTAGTTTAATAAATGATGAAATGTTTTTTTTGGCAGTTGACTTTTGACCCCACTGTATGTGCAAACACACGCGCACACACGCACACACACACACTGAAAATCGTAACGCAACACATAATAGTAGGGGGGTGGGGTATCATCCAGATCATCATGAGTCTTCGTTGCCAGAGTCGTCCTGGTTGTCGTAGCGTCTGGTGGACGTCCCGCCGTCCTCCGTGGGGCTGATCCCCCCGGCTTCGCCTACGGACTCCATCTCGCTCTCGTCTTCGTCCTCGTCCTCCTCCTCCATGTCGTCATCATAGAGGTCGTCATAGAGGAGGTCTGAACTGCTGTCCTGGGAGGGAACCCTGGTCTGGACGCAGTACTCCGCCAAAGTGGTCGGCACCTTGACGCCATCGCGCTCCGCCTCTGCCGCCGTTGACATCACCTGCTTCCTGTAAACCAGAGAGGAATAAACTCAAAGTCAGTGTTTAATGTCACTTCTATGCGGACAGACCGGGTGATTCTCTGTAAGCACATTGAACATTTGTCTGCACAAGGATGAAAAATAGTCATTATTGTGAATTACCTGATAATCTCTGCGTACTCCTTGTCCTTGCCTTTGCTGTCCCTCCATTTGCGAAACATGACAGACGCGTCCACGTTAGCCGGGGAGAAGGTGTTGGGCTCATTGAGCAGGGAGATCACACTAAGCAGGATCGTCCTGATTGCGACAGAACCACACAGACCGAAAATGAGGACACTCCAATATATCAGATCCTGACTTTGTATGAAAGAAAAGCTCGACTCTGGCTTTTTTTAAACTGTAGCTAGCTTCATCTGAACCTGATCAATTACATGCTGCAACCGATCTGCTCAGGTTTAAATTTCTGTTATTTGTTCCGTTTGTAGACGAACATTGGAAAGTCCTCTGCCCTTATGAATGTCCACATTGCATTCAAAATAACAGCAAAGTTATAAAAAGGCTGCCCGTCTGTGTTGTAGAATGGATTAAAGAGCACAGAGAAGCCAAGGTTGTGTGGAGGAGAGATTACCGGACGTTCTGGGTGGGGTTCCACCTTTCAGAGGGCAGCTCCCCGCTCTGAGGGTCATCGACGGGGGGGTGCAGGATGGAGATGCACACATCTCCGTTCTGGAAAGAGAACAAAATGCACTATTCAACATCTGTCATGACGACATGAGCGTGTCTACATTTAGCCTCTAAATGGCTCCATTTTAACACAAACTATACAAATACCAAATTGGCATGGATAACGGCTAAAACAAATTGTGTGAAAATGACAAAAATGAGAGACACAACATGCTTTACCTCGTAAATGTTGGGGTGCCACATCTTGGTGAGGAAGCGGAAGGTTGGAGGGGAGTACGGGTAGTCAACTGGGAACTTGATGTGAGCCTGGGAGAACAAACAGGTCGACAGTCTACACATGTTTTTACCAAGCTTGACTTCCTTTATGCTAAGTTTCAGCTTGAGGGTGAAGAGAGCCAAGGGAGAGGTGAGTTGATGTTTTGGAGGCTGGCGTAACACATCGATATGTTGAATGTGGAAAAAAAAAAAGTGCTTTATATATCCAAATAAACAAATAACATACGAGTTTGTAATATTTGTAAGACATCATTTCTCGAGTGAGACAAATAAAGTTCTTCCTTCAACAAAAATAAAGAGAAACAACATGAGTCAGCAAAAGTGATGCAGGTGTCTCAAGGAGATATAAATTGCTATGAACTTTAATCTAGATCTCAATGAGGATAAACTTGATATGTCCACACTGGAGCGATATGACAAATTGGATTCTGTTCACTGTTCCAAGTCTATCTGTAATGTCGTTGTAGTGTTTAACCACAAAGTATCATCCTGTCCCCTTTCATTGAAATATATGGTCTCTAGGTACAATCACACCACGAAGCGGTTATCATGCATGTCAGTCATTTGGAATGAATGTCAATAGAGCAAGGCATTAGGTGACACAACAGTCCTGGTTAGTGATGCTTTGATACCGGACCGGATATCGGGCCGATGTTGAATCAAATAGCTGGATCGGGTGACAACGGGGCCGATCTATTCAGTTCAGTTCTATGTTTATATACCTGGAATCTTAACTCCTGTTTAAGTTTTGACCAATGTGTTGCTGCATTAAAAAGGGTTTACACTTGAATTGTATACTGTAAATTTGTTGGCATACAATTTACTATTTTAATAATGAATAACAATTGAGTACATTTATATCTATGTATGCATTTGTTATATTGGGTTTTACAAAGTTAGGAAAAGCAATGATCAAGTCAAGCCTGAAACATAAAAGAATGATCCTCGTCGCTTCCACACATTGAGGCATACAGTTTATGAATTAAACACCGGTATCTGATCTGTACTCGGTATCGGCCGATACACAGAAGCCCAAATATCGGTATCAGGACCGGAAAAGTCAGATCTGTGCAACTCTACTTCTGGTTTCTGTGTTTTCTTTCCGTATTGCGCAATTATCTAGGTGAAAGGCATGTAGGCCTGGGTGTGTGTGTGTGTGTGTGTGTGCAACACCACCCCGGCTCTCACCGAGCTGCTGACACTCAGATAGGACTATCATTGCTCCACAACTCGTCGCTACACCAGAAGCAACCTTGGGACATTAAAAACACAGATGTCATGACACGTGAGCTTCCATGCAGGGTTACATCGTTACACTGGTCAATACCAATACTTCATCAATCACACCTGCACAAAAAGTACATCAGGCGTTCCTTCCTGTAGTATTACAGACTCTAAATAGTATTATTGCAAAGAGATAAGGTCCAGGGTTTGAAAGTGTCTGCAGGCTAAATGTTTTATGTTACATATCTCTTGTAAACACTTGCAGGTAAATTGGAAACTCCAGCTGTTGCACATCTGTCTGTCCTGAAAGAGGGACAAGAATGTACAACAGGATGTCACTGCAAAGCCTAACCCGATCAACGACGGCAGCAACACATGCTCCTCTGAACTATTTTGGCATTCCTGGAAGATTACAGCATCGTCTGCATTGCCTTGACTTGAATGCGGGCTCTCACTGTACCACACTTTTTAGAAGTTACACTGAATAAGTAACATGAAAGACGGCGAGATGAGTCTTGTCGTGCCCTTCTCCGTTACTCTTTTCCTGTGCTGAGGTGCCATTTATAAATCGGTCTCATAGCTAAAAATAGCCATCTGAAGCACAACCATCATACAGCAAGGGGGAGAGGGCTGGACAAGGAGAATGGAGGGAGAGGGGCGAAAGAGGAAAAATTAAAGAAATATTAAATGGCTGTCTACAAAGGCTTAAAATCCAAAATAAATAAATAAATCTTATACCAGCAGAGGTGAGCGGAAAGAGGTGAGCCAGCAGAGTTGAGCTCGGGCATTGCTGAATTATAGTTTTAAAAAAATGCAATAACCATGTTAAGACTTTATTTGCTCTGATACTTTAAACAGAGTCACTGTCACTACTACCTGGCTGTTTTCCAAGTTGCAGCAATCCCCTAGATATCCTATTCGCCAAGAAAACTTACACACAGGAGCACAATTACACCGTGTGAAAAATGTAAATAAACTATCTTTTGTCCCACAATTTTACACAGCACCACGCGCAATGAAAGATCTCTGCATTTAACTCATCCTCGCATTAGGTGCATTGAGCAGCTACTATACAGCATTCGGTGCCTTGCTCAAGGGTACCTCTCCAGCTACCAGTGCACACTCCGTACTTGGTCCCTGTGGGGGACTTGAACTGGCAACCCTCCCGCTCCCAAGCCACAAGGCAGCCCGTACATTCTACTGCCGACTATGAATTAACTTCCAAGAGTGTGTCTCATAATCTAAACCAGGTGACATGTTTTGACTGGTATGAACTCATGATGTCCCGCCCCCTCCTGTTATTAGAAAGCTTGGCCCCACCTTAAAGTAGCCTCCCTCATACAGGGTGTTCGGGGGTCCGAAGATGGCCACTTCCCAGTTGTAGAGGTCAGACTCCTCCACCAGCGTGATGCGGAAGCCCTCCACCGGCTGCTCCTGCAGAGACTTCAGCTCCATCATCAGGGCCTTCTGGGAACTAGGGGTTGCCTGGTGGGCCATGTTAATCCCACTTCTGACACCAGGGGCCACAGGAGGGGGAGGGGGGGAATTATGATACTGTCAGGATCCTACATATGTTTCACATTTCATGGTTACAATTGATTCTGCAGCAAACACACCTACTATCTTGTTTGCCTTTTTGTTTGTATTGATGAGTCTTTCTAGAACACGTTCAGGACAAAAAGAAACACGCCTGCATAGATGAGAGTCCTGCTGCTAAACTGACCGCCACATGAAGGATTCAAACACAAAACAGGATATGTGGCCCTGCCGAGCTAGCTCAAGTCAGTTGGTTTAGTTCGCAGGCCCTTTGTGGGGAAATGCAAAGTTAATAAAAAAGTGTTTACCTCCGTCTCCTTTGCACTGTAATGTGTGTTCGTTTCGTTACAGCTGAGGTACACTCATTGGTCGTCCATGCTAGCCTGGTTATGTCTCGACAAAAGATACAGTGACAGGAGCAGTGGATGTTCTGCTTAATAGCTGGTCCTCGTGTTGTGTTTCCGAAATTCTTTGTGTGCCAGTGTTGACAGTTGACCTGGAGCTAGTATCGGTGTAAAGTCAACGGTCTCCTGCGGATCATTCTCGGGCTCGAAAGAGGAGATTCTCTCTCCCTGACATCTCTCCGTGCTGCTGCTGGTTCGGTGTTCGGACAGGCGCTCAGCTGATCCCCGCTTGTTTATGTTTGTTTATCCGCTCTCTCTCTCTCTTCGGCAGTCTCAACTTCTCCACACGTCAGCTAAACCCCCCTAACCGAGCAACTTCGTTCAAACGGAGCAGCTCTCCTTCCGTCCCCTCCGGCGCACTGGCGGCGGAAAAGCAGGCTGATCAATTCGAGCCTACCGTCGCGAAAAAGGACAGTAAGTTAGCGGTTTACACTCGCGATTGACACTGGATTGCATCGATTTTTTATTTTCCTCCCATCGGTGCTTCCGGCTATCATTGCGCGTGTCTGCAAAACGTAAAGCACGTAACGGGTCTGAACGTGACGTGCGCGCACTCGATGCTGAAGCCAAAAATAATCATGTTGGAAAAAAAAGATTTAAAAAAATAAATGAAGACATTCAGACATTTGTGCATTTTACAATTTTAGATGTTTTTAAAAGTTACTACAATAACTATCTAAAATTACGTGTACTCGCTTTCTTAAACGATGACGTTATTATATTTAATACATTTATTGATCACTAAAAAGGCAGCTCGATGTTAGCTTTCATTTTAACTTCTTCTCACTTAAGTTAGGCTACCTTCTTTCCTTAAACAAACAATTGACATCTGATGCTTGACTTTAGTTCTGTGATTTCTTCAGAGATGACATATCGAAGAACTTCACAGCATACTTTAGGAAGTCCTACATTTCACTATATTATACTTGATCAATAGTTTACATGCTGCTTTCACTAGTTTATCATCATCAGTTCTGACAACAAAGTGGCTTGACTGAGTAGATTAGTTTTTATCATCTGTATAGCCGAGTTGATTACAATCAATTGCACAATATTTTCAATTTCAGAAATGAACGAGGTAATGAGGTTTATTATTACACTACCTAACAGCTAACTTTACCTAACAGCTAACTTTGGGTAAGAATTAGATTAGATGCTGCTCTGTCACTCTCTCTCTCTATTAATCATGTATCTTAATGGCTCCGGATATCGAATAATCTGATTAAAACAAACACAGAAATTAACATCTGTCTCTTTGTAAATTAAATTTTAACATTAGAAGCAGGGCGGTATACATGTCCCTAGGAAAACACAGCACTGAAGAGAATTAGCCGACATTAAAGGGCACCATAAACATTTATCAGAGGCAATAAAATGCACACATTAATAAACTCTTTCAGCCCCAGCTCTTTGATAAATCAATTTCAAGGAGTGCATTTTGTTTAACTAATACAATTTACTCTATTATTCAAAACCTTCATCTGAATGACGAGAAGCACTGCTTTCGCTACCTTTGCTTTAAAAACAGCACCTATCAGCATAGCTCACACCATCGCCTCCACATCTGGATGTGATGTTCTGACGTAACGTAGCCGAGTGACGTCAGACAGGAACCAGTCGAAAGGGAGCTTTGACAAATCAAGATGGCGTCCCACGCTGAAGCAGGAAAGGGATTTCAGTATAAATAAAACTCTTCCTGAGAATAGTTTACATTTGAGTGCCATCTCGGCAAGAACATCGTTTGGGATTTTTGAAAAAACAAACAGGACGGAGCAGACACAGGTGAGAGGAGTCTGTGGTTATATGTGAGCTCAGGTTAGTTTCAGGGGCGGTGGCAGCAGAGACAGCGGTCTGTCTCAACCAGCCACATACTATTACAGCCAGGCCACTAGCTCAGCGTATTAGCATCAACACTAGCTTTTACCTATGAAACATTATCCAGCGGCTAGTGGTTATTTAGTGAATTCATTCATTGGACTTTACTATTTCACCCACACTCATGTCATATCAGACGTTGACTTCTTAGCTAAACTGACACTACATGTTAGCCGTTAGCTGCGTTGAGCTAGGAGTGACCAGAGTACTGATAGCTTAGCTTGTTGCTCAACACTATTATAACTTTATTGACACGAGCTAACGAGCAAACGTTATCGTGCGTAAAGTGTGCCCACTACGTGACAGCTGGGATCCTTGACGTCAATTTTAAAGATAAACCTGTTACGTGATGAATTGTAGGTACTGCGATCCTTTCGGTATCGTTTTAAGTTTGGAGCAGTTAAGATCCCACTAAGCTAGCTAGCTAACACGACTACCTTAACGTGTTGTGCTGTAGTGGTTGTACTCTAACCTCGAGTACAATCTAACTTGTTAAAAACCGCCACGCAGAACAGACGTGTATGGTGGATGTGGTGTTGTATAACATTATGTCGAGTAACTAAAAGATTCTAACCAACCGACGTGGTGTATAACGTCACACGGTTCAAATAAATTAAAGACATCCGATAAGAGAAATAACTCCTGATCGCGAGATCATTCTTGATCACGTGTGGCCCATCACTGTGGTCGCTCATGATCAGCCAGAGAGTCTGTAGTCTAGATTCAAGTTAAAGTGTGATGCCTAAACTCTAAATTGGGGCTAATGGACGCTGAACAAACAGCTCCCAGGTTAGTGTAGTACAAGTAACCTGCCTATAGGTTGTGTTTTCACATAGATGTTTGTAATTGCTCCCGTAGTTGTGCCTACGGTGTAGAAATGTGATAGACTCTGAATTGTAAGTCGCTTTGGTTAAAAACGTCTGCTAAATGACTGTAATGTAATGTAATTATGGATTCCCACGTGAGTCACTCTGCTGGTGCTGGTGATAGTCAGCAGATTGCAGTGTACTACGAGCTACTGTGTATTGCTGCTCATTTTGTGTCTTCATATAAGAATTTGCAAAAACAAACAAAATGCAGTTGTGTTACGCAAGAAAAACAAAACAAAAACAGTAGTTTTTTTTTATTTTTATTGCATCCAGATGAGTGTAGAGAGCAGCAACAAAAACAAAACGCTGAATTCCCCAGGCAGATAATATGGCTGGTATCTTAACTTTCAAAAAAAAATAAAAAATAAAAATCGACATCAGGGTAACATTGTCCATCAACTTCGTCTGTGTTCGAGTATCATTGATTCAAAACACGAGTCCGGTTCCTCTTATCCCACCGTAGTCCTTGCTAATCAAGTGCATATAGCTTTATCCGGGAGGCCACGATGGAGTCAGGTCTCTGTGAAGTTGTGGCCACAACAGTTTCTAAGTTAGATATGTGAAAATTCAATCCCCCCCACATTTTCCCATTGATTCAGTGTTTATTTACAATTTAGCTTATTGGAGCTTTAAGCACTTTTCACTAACAAAAACAGCCCGTTTTCAGCCGTGAGAGTGGATGAAATCTATCACTTTATCTACTGAACACCAGACTTCAGCAGCACACAGATCAAAGTTCTGTGTTGAGCGGATGTGGAAACAGTGGCATCTCTGTGTTGACAATGTCAGCCACTGTTGCGAGGCATGACCAAATAATGGGATTATGTGACTTGACATGCAAAAACGGTGGAATGTACAAAGCCAATGAGAAAGTGAATAATTTTGATTTGAATAGAAAAAAATGATTTGCACGACCATGTGATAAAGTGTCGTTGCTCATGCGCTTTGATTAAAACTCTTCTTTAGGATCAATTTGTGAGCTCAGTGAAAGACGCAAACTATAATCTGCTTTGTCCGAAGAAATGTCACGCTTGAAAGGCGGGGGAAGAAGGACGGATGCAGGGGAATTCCATTTTCATACACTGTTGCCCCATAGGTCGTTGATGTATTGACCGTCCATGTAAATATGAACTCTCTTTGACATTTAAAAAAATATGGCATTCCCACTGCTCACTAACTTTACACCTGGTGTACACTCACGTCTGCTTTCAGAGTCTCTAAATGGCTGCGAGGAAGTCTGGATCAGATGCATACAACAATGGTGAGGAACCTATTTTTAACACTTTCTTGTTTCACTGTTTGACAGCACTGATCCTTCTGAGTGAAGTGTAGGTTCAAGGTGCCTGTAGTTCCACTGTCTGTTCTAATATATGCGTACTTTGTTTTCTTATTGGACACAGGACCCATCAGCTACCTTGATGCTGTTCCCTTCAAGATCAATGACAAATTCCGCTGCCCAGCCAAAGTGGGGCTTCCTGTCGGTTTCTGTCTCCCAGACTGTCGCTCTTTGCTAGTCGACTCGCAGGTAAGGCACAGGAAAATGTTGATTTTGCACCAGTGTATGCTGCACTTACATCCTCAGCAGGCTTAACCATGCTGACCTATTGTTATTGTTTATAAATTACAGCAACCTCAATTTTAGATGGTTTTTTTTTTTTTTTTTTTTTTTTTTAATGATGTTGTAATCTCATGTGGCTCTTACACTCATCATTGTTCTTGTTTTTTTTCCCTGTCGCTCTATGTGCCCTCTTTGCCTGTCTTACTCTCTTCCTCTTTCTGCGGTCTCAACAGTATGACTTTTCTCTGGAGAGGCGTAGCGTGCGCTGGGGGGTTGAACTGGCTGAGGCCAGAGCAGCAGAAGCCCGAGCAGAAGAGGCAGCAGCAGCCAAGCAGGAGGCGGAGAGCAGGGAGTGCTCGGCACAGGCCCAGGACATGGATGCTGGTGGTGGGAAGAAACCCCGGTCTGCTGCAGAGGACCAGGACCTTCTACCACCAGCGTTGAATCCCGTCCTTGCGGGGCTGAGCCATAACGACATCCTCACTCCACTGCCTGCCCCCAGCCTTGGCCCCAGGAAAATCCTGCCCAGCACTCCCCAGCTACACAGCCTCAACCTAGCTGACTTTGAGCGGGAAGAGGACCCCTTTGACAAGCTGGAGCTCAAAACTTTGGACGATAGGGAGGAGCTCAGGAACATCCTTCAGAGCCAGCCCCAGCCCCAACCTCAACCTCCTCCTCCCTCTGTATCCCCACCAGAGGTTTCCCACATGTCACGCGGAAACAGCCCGTCTCCTCCCAGCATCAACACCAGCTTAGCAGCCAAACCTGGCTTTTCCCATAAACCCAACGGGTTGATTGCCTTGCTGGACATGGACAGAGTTGGTCACCCTGGCAGAACGGGGTTTGAAACCGACGATCGCCCCTGCAACATCCGCTCTCTCACTTTTCCCAAGCTCTCTGACTCTGGTGACCCAGAGCCACTGAGGTACAGCCCACTCCCTGCTCCCCGACAGCACCTAATCAATGGCAGCCCACCGCACACACCCAAGGCCCAAGTTATTGTTCCCCCTGAGCCGACCAGCCACACAAACAGTGTCGCACCAAAACCGGTGAGCATAAGATCACATACTGCCAGACTAATTGTGTGCATGGTTTGTTTTTGGAATAGTGACATAGATTAACCAGTGATGGTAGATAACGAATCTCAGGAACCTCATTGACATTCATTCATGTTTTTGCTCCAGGCCAACCCCGGGTCCGGATCTGCTGGTCTGCCGTGTGGTGGAGCGCTGCTCAGCATGACCCCCAGCGAGCGTCAGTGTGTGGAAACCCTTGTGGGCATGGGCTACTCTTATGAGGGTGTCCTACGGGCCATGCAAAGACAGGGGCAGAATGTGGAACAGGTGCGACACCCTCTCGCACTAATGCACAGGAATCTGGATTCCTAGCATATTCATTCGTCAGCGTGCTCAACAGTTCATTGTTTGTGTGCTCGTGTAATTTGGTTCAGTGCAGTTCTTTTGTAAATAGAGCCTTAAATTAAAAATAAAGTTGTTTCATCACACCTTCTGTTGTCTCAAAAGTTATGGCAATAGATATATTTCTGTGATCTGTACAGCTAATACTACACAATATGACCAATCAACCACTGTCAACTAATTAGGGGGGTTAGTATATCAGATTGAATTTGTATTAGCTGGTTTTAAATGATGATCTAGCTTTAGATGCAAGGTGCAAACAGGATAAAGGGAACAATACATTAAAAACATTATCATTTAATAATTTCAATCCAAAATGCATTTTCTATGGATTTTGTAAATAAAAATGTACTTATTGTTTGTCTAAGGTACTGGACTACCTGTTTGTCCATGGGCGTCTGTGTGAGCGGGGCTTCGATGCAATTGCAGTGGAGGAATGTTTAGAGATGTACCAATGCTCAGAGGAAAAGGTCTGTACTATTTGCTATTAGCTAACTGTACACCTGAAGAGCGTGCATTGTGTTTATACGTTAAGTCAAATAATTAGAAGCTAGAAAACACGGTGTTTAGTCTTTAAATATGAGCGACACCCCCTATCTTTTGATAATCAGGATAAATCTATAGATTACATTAATAGATTATTTTAGCTATTGTAGTTTTATTCATTTTGTCATCCTTCCCAGGCTTTGCAGTTCCTTGAGCTAATGTCAAGATTTGGCGAAATGGGATTTCAGCGGGACGCCATCAAAGAGGTGCTGCTGGTCCACAACAACGATCAGGACAAGGCTCTAGAGGACCTGATGGCTCGGGCAGCAGCTAGCTGAGCCGAGCTAACCAGCCAACCAAAGCCCAGCCCAGGGCTCGCCTCCCGCTACGACCCAACACAGCCCCTTCCCTTCTGCCTACCCTGTCACACCATGTCCTGCCCTTGCCTTGGCTGTGGAAGGGACAGCTGGGAGAAGGTTGTATTTCTCTCTCTGTGCTAAAACGTATCGTGTCTCAGCACTTCTTAAAGACTGCGTGCCTAGAGTGGAGGGGGTAAAAGCTTAACAATACTTCATGGTGGTGTTTTCTTTTTTTTCTTCTAAGAAATCCTGGGGTTAGTTCCCAGGATTTTGGACTGCTAGGGTATTCAAGAATCGGAAGAATGACTGCGCTGGAAATGGAGAAACTGAATATAATGAGCTGTGGCGATTTAATGCCGTTCCGAATTGCTTCCTATCGTGGAAGTCCTATCTGTCTGCAGGCAAAAGTGCAGGACCGAATGGGGAGCTGGTGACGGGTTCTGCATCACAGAAAGACCCGTTTGAACTCTTGAAACTCCCAAACGACTAAGCTGCCATCTTCCACTGCGCTGTGCAGACCTGGTAAATGGTGGCGGGGGGCCTAGAGGAGGCTCTCTTTAAACTGAGCCAACTAACGTTAAAAAAGAAAAAAAAAATCGAAATCCCAGTCGCCAGACAGACAACTGACTCTCAAGAAGTGCCCTCTCTGCTCTGGTGCCCTGCACCTACTACTTTGTTCTTTCATTAATTCATCTGTTTTTCTGTTCATTTGGGCGCTTTTTCATGTCGGCATAAAGAGTCCATTTCTTTGATTTCTGTATTAGGAACTGCATAATAGATCCGTAGTCACGATTACTCAGAACATTAGAGATGCTACTCTCCCAGTACGCTCTTCAACCTGCACTGGAAGGGCCTGTTAAAGCAGTGGGGAGACTGAGGTAAAGTTCCTGTCTAGGAAATGATAAGAAATATCCCATAACCCCCTGGCACTGATGTGTCACATACAGCACACAGGTTTCATATGTTATCATCTTATTTAAAATACTACACTGATACTTTCATTTAAACATAAAGAGTTTGATGCGATAATATAAGATATGTTAACTCACGTTGAACTGTCACGGACTTCTGTTTGCAGACTGGAAAAAAAGTGAGTGGGTTTAAAACAAATAAAATGTAAGTGAGGGCTTGTTTTTGCAGCCACATCACAGTGCAATAGAGACATTTCATATTGTGTTACTGTTGACTCGAGTAATGTTGTCGGGAGATAAGAAATGGTCTTCAAGCCTTGATAGAAATTGGGATATGACTAGAATGGGTTTGATTTCAGTGATCGCCATAATTTATTCTCTGTTTTTTGGATTTCATGTCACACAATCTAATCAAACATGACTTTTTGTTTGTTGACTTCCACTTTCTTTTCTCATGTGTAGTATGAAATGAGTGGCCATCTTGATTTTAGGTTTGTTGCCATCTCCACAGTCTTAAATGTAAATTTAACAAATGTTTGTCACCACAAGCTAAAAGCATTTCCCCCATATATGTCGATTGGGTGTTTAAAAGAGGGCCAGGATCCTTTATTTTCATAGTATGTGTCTGGGTTCAGTGCTACACAAATGTTTTAAAAAGCATGTCTGCTCAGTTGCACCAAAGGTAAGGATGACAGAATGTCCTGTAATCTTGATCTCCGTGGTACTGATGGGGATCGTGAGAGGCGTGGTAACGGATTAACGATTCAAAGTTAGCAAAATGTGACTTTGGAGAAGCAGCACTTTGCTTGGGGCAGGTCCAGTACTTTGTTCTATGTTTCACGATTACAAAAAATTAATTATCCACCCACAAATCAATTTTAAAACAATGCCTGGTTTTGGAAAAAAATTTATAGGGTGGTTTATTTCCAATACAGACATCATTTTGCTTCGACCAAGCATCTGCAGAATATACGGCACCACTAAAACCAGACAAATGAGCACATGCTTGCAGGAAATAAATCTCCCTCTGGGATGCTTTCAACCAACTTGCAAGCAAAGTGAAAACACCCCAGTGTTTGCTAATGTGACGCACGTCATCGTCAACCTGTCCTTCAATCCATTCTGCTGTTTCTGTGGAAAGGACGGTGCCTGATGCACGCAAACAACACAACACGGGCAGGTTCTGGACGACCTCCCTTTCCGTTGTGCGGGTAGGTTGTCATTACGTAGGGTTTATGTATCTCTTAAGTCGCAGCATAATTTAACAGGGCGCCAGTGAACCTAATGAACGTTGAAATATCTCAACAGTATAATTAAGAGTTGACTGAGTTAAGTGTTCTTTCCCAAGCTCCTGAAATGTGATTTGCAAAATGTTCAATTTCTTCTTGAATGATTTGGAAAATCCTCATGATTAAATGTGCACATCTTTTTCAGTGGTGAGACTGTTCATCGTTGCTGTTTGTTGAATTTTTTTTAAACTTAATTTGATATAGGTTCTTTTCTCAAGTATGGTGACAACATATTAGATGTGTTGACATGCAGCTGATGAGAAAGCACAACTCTCCTGCTCCCTGTTTGTTCCTCTTCTACAGCAAATGCATTTTTTGTTCTCTTGGTTCAGTTTGCAGCAACAATACAGATGAGTGTCCATACAGGTATTGTCAGTGGCAACTGGAAACATCTGTGTGGCCCATCAGCAGAAAAAAAGACAGTTATGCATCAGAATATAGAGACCATATTTGGTCTGCCTGAGCTCACCAGGGTTGATAAACAGAAGATTACAGAGTCGTGTATAATGTCTGTTAACAGATATGAGTTGAGGTCCTAGGTAGTGACAAGCCATCTGTGTGATTTCAGATTCTCATGTCATCAATGATTTTGTGCTCAACCAAACAATGGCCACCTTAAGAACAATCGCAGAAGTTAAGTCTCTGGAGAATTTATAATATTAAGATGTATGATTTCTTCCCTTTAACCTGAGATTGTCCAGATGGCCTGCTAGAAGTTCTCAATGTTCACAATAACTATTACAAATATAGATACCAAATGTCATGAATAACAGACAGAACAATGCCCAATGAATTATATAAAAATATTAATATTTTTATTATTTTTGTCATTTAATAAAACTGCATTTTCTAACAAAGCACACATTTGACAGCTCATGATTGGATTGTATTGACACATTTCCTGAAATAAAAATTAAAACAATAAAAGATTGCTGTTATGAAATTTATATTTGGGCATATTAAAAAAACATTCTTTTCCCGCTGACACAAAATAGTATTTCCTTAAAACGGGGAGAAAACATCTGATCAATGATCTCACGCAGTTGGCGTGAACGAGCACGCATGACGCTCGCGTTCACGTACGACCTTGTTTTTGTTGATGTTTAATTTTAGTGCGGCTGCGCGATGGTCAATGTTTTCGCCGTTGCTGACGCGACTCGGTAGGAGAAAAAGGAGAGTGTGTACCCTCTGGTTGTAGCTAGCGACGTTGTTAGAATCTGAAAAAGGAGTACAACCAGACTGTATTATTACTTGGGAGCCAAGAAGGCAAGCTAATGAGAGTAGGTCAGCGACAATCCTAAACCGGTGACTAACCAACCTCTCCCGTATGTGATCGCCCTTGCTCGTCGTCGGACGCTGCCAGCGAGGGCCAAGGAACAACACAGCATATCGCCATTATATGATCCAGTGTCCAGAGTCACTTTTACCCTCCATGTGGGTGAGGGAGCTGTGTGTCTCAGATTATGGCGAGAAAAACAGTTAGCAGGAAAAGGAAGGCAGGAGAGCCCAAGGACCAACAACAGGTAGGCGGAAACTCGGTGCGGATCTGTATTAACTAAGCTAACGCTAGTCAGTTATATTAGCATGCTAACTAGCATTGGGCTAACCAGGTTTTTAGCTGATTAAAGCCATGTCAGAGGCAAGCTATATATGACATTTTAACCAATGAACCACTACAATATATTACACTATGTGAACATAACATCCACCAAACAGATGACAACTGCAGTCATTGTTAACGACATGTTTATATTTGAAAGTCAGAAACGTTACCCGTTAATGTTAGCATGGCGTTATCCAAAGGGTGTCCGTTATCAATGCGACAGCTGGGTCAACGTTAGCCGAAGGGCTAGTTACCTCGTCTTATTATTATTTGATTGTAATCACGATTAAATAACATGTTCGTTGGTAGATACAATTGACAGTCCCTTGTTCGCTTGGGGTCATCACCTGTCACCCTACAGTCACTATCCAGAAGAGCGTTTGTCATAATTTAAAACGGAATTTGTCCAAATATAAGGCATAACGTTAGCCGTTGCTAGCTGTTAAGCTAACGTTAGCAGATATACGTTAACTAAGTTAGCTAGCATAGCTCACTTAAATATATATATAATATACACAGACCAACCGTAGATCGGCCTGTCCAAGATAATGGAATGGACATTCATCAGTCAGTCCTGAGCCCAGTTGCTGACACCATAATTTAAGCTTTGGCTTTTAAATTTGTCAGCAGCATCACTAGCTTTTCATTAAAAATAGCAATACTGTACGAGCTTCCTTTTTCTGCATCGTATGTTAACAATGCCAATGTGTGTGAGGTCACAATCATTCATCAGTAGAATTAAACCAAATCTATGTCAATATAATTATTTTTTTAGTCTGCTTTTTGTGTTGTTTTTACACAGCCTATAATGGGTATGAATAATTAGGCCAAGGTTAGACAATTCATAATCATCCCATAACATTTGTAATGTTATTGTGATGCCAATTCAGATTCTTCTGGTTGTTTCTGTGTGAGCGATCAAATATGTCGAACAAAATGTAACAGGTTTTTTTGCATATCCTTTAAGTATGAGATGCCTCACAAAACAATGATTAGGAACTGGTGTATGCCTCTGTATAGAAGAATGGTGCTCAGGGACAGGGACCCTTAAACGTTTCCAAACGTTTGGGTACTCTGCATTATTTAAGCAGCTTTAAAATAAGTGAAAATTCATCCATCTGATGTCTTCTTTCAAGACTAGCTGTTCTGCCAGTTTCTGTGTTACCTCTTTCATTTTAAGAGAGTCCCAGGTAATATAATTTTACCATTATGGCAAATTGCAATTTGTATACAATATTAGTGTACCAGCTTTGGCTGTGTAATTAAATATCTCTATAAAGTAAATTATAAATCAACACAATAAAGTGGAATATCACTTTTAAAGCCTGAAGTTGTATATTGTTAGTTTGAGAGCTTTCAATTTTACAGGCCAATTTAGATTTATATGCCCATAAAAGTCTTAGCAACAAGCCACTTAGTGTTGCAAAGTTTAAATGAATGGTCAGGTGTGTGTGCGTGTGTGCGTGTGTGTGTGTGTGTGTTATGAGGTCTACTGACTAAATATAGGGGTGGTCTTAACCTACATCATAGACAGCCAATAATATTGGCCTACCTGTGCAATATAAAATTCAGGGCTTTTGTGTAGACTAGGTCTGTAAATTGAGTACACATCCCGATGAAGTGTCAAGGATGTGTGTGGTTCTGCTGTAATATTTCCATGATCCACTAAACTTTTCCGCAATTGTAAGTAAAACATTATTATTGCTAGTCTCTGAAACATGTTGGATTTGACTAAAGTCATGGTTTTGCCACTAAATTTTTATTTTCCCCCTCTCTTTCCTCAGCTGGGCTGGTGTCAAGCGCCACACAAGCGGAGCCGTGTTTCTTGTTCATCACGTCATGCCCAGCAGTGGTGGTGCAGTCGGCGCTCAGTGGTATGTGCCCTCCGGGGGCGGGAGTTCAGACCTCAACAGCAGCACGAGTTACGGCTCCAGCGGAGCCTCCGGGGCTTTGCCGCCGGCAGGCTCCCTGGCATTCTCAAGGAGAGAGAGTTCTCCCTAGGGCGACTCAACAAGGTGTTTGCTTCACAGTGGCTCAACCACAGGCAGGTGGTGTGTGGGACCAAGTGTAACACGGTGAGATGTCATTTTGTTACTCACCTGCATTCATTGGTTTGACATATTTCTAACACTTAGTGTAAGATTACATGCACTCAAATATTTGATATTCTAACCAGATGTCTTTCCTTCCTTTACCTGCAGCTTTTTGTAGCTGATGTCCTGACAGGGCAGATAACACGCATTCCCATGCTGAAGGACAGGGAGTGTCATGGTGCAGGCTCTGGGGCGGTGGGTGCAGTGGGTGCGGTGGGTGCAGTGGTGGCGGGGCGGCATTACCAACCCACAGGAGTGTCCCGTGCCCGGCTGGACCAGCAGGGCTGTGGGATCCACGCTATTGAACTCAACCCTTCTGGAACGCTGCTAGCTACAGGAGGAGACAACCCCAACAGCCTGGCCATCTACCAGCTGCCCACATTGGACCCTGTTTGTGTGGGAGATGTAAGTGGTTTGGGTTATCTGACATCCAGTCATCGCTTATGGTTTCTAATCCTCTCTTTTTGCCCACTGTAAGTCATTCTGTTACAATTCTTGCAAAAATATATTGCACTGTCTGTCCACCAGCCACAGTGTTTGAGTCCTGCCAGCATGGCGTATCATGGAGGGTTTGCTGTCCCCAGAGGATGAATTCTAAGGATGTTTTTGTGATTCCTTGACTGTTGATTAAGTGCCAAAGAGTGTCAAATGTTCCACTTGGTCAACACTTTTCATACCAAGATAACACTTGTGATTGATTCCCTGATTGCATACTCTCAACCAGAGAGGGGTGAAATAATTAGATTTTATAACTATGATGTATATTTTGTTCATATTTCCCAGCCACCGTTTAGCAATAGCTGTTCAGCAATTCACGCAGAAGAACACACGGTTGTTTTGCTTTTACATAGTGGCCATTATTTTTTCAGGAAGGTCACAATGACTGGATCTTCTCCATAGCTTGGATCAGTGACAACATGGCGGTTTCTGGTGAGTTGGGTATATGAGTTTAGTTGTATGAATGTCCACTGCTGTGTGAGCATTGTGCACAATACCCAAATGACAATCCTATGTCTATTTTTCACTTTTGTATGCTGTTCGTGGAGCCAGAAATACTCTAGGCAGTAATCAACATGTGTTTTTAAATTCCTAGGGTCCAGAGATGGCTCCATGGGCCTGTGGGAGGTGACAGAGGAAGTAATGAGCCAGGCGGAGCGGAGTCAGAATGAAGAGGCGGTACCCTCATACGCCCACATATCCCACCGTGCCCTCAAGGACATCCCAAAGGAGTACACTAACCCATACAACTGTAAAGTCCGTGCCCTGGCCTTCAACAACAACCATAAGGTAAGAATCATCGTCCTGGGGAACCATGTGATTGATTTCTTACAATTGCTTTATAGTTGGATATTTAGCGTACACATGGCCATCAGAGGAGTGGATTGTGCTACAGGAGTGGATGATTAGATGTATTTCTTTACGCTGAAAGTGAGTCACCAGAGAAATCCACTGTATCAATCCTTCAAGCTGACCACAGTAGTGGTCAAGCCTGCAAAGTATTAGAAGTTTCACATCAAAACAAACAAGTTGACTGTCAGAGCCTGTTGCCTCTGCACATCTTAGCATCAGTTATTTACATCTGTCTTCCCATGTGTGTCTTCCCTTTCTAGGAGCTTGGTGCTGTGTCTCTGGATGGCTATTTCCACCTCTGGAAAGCTGAGCACAACTTGTGCAAGGTAACTCCCATTACTATAGTGTGACTAATAATCATGTGATGCGTTTTCTCTGCATACTTCATACCATAGTGATACATTCAGCTAAGAGAGAACAGGGTGACTACAGCTTGCTGCAAGTTGTATTAGTGCTTTTTTTACACTGCCAGTTAAGTCTGATACGAGATCGATTGCTCACCAAAATAGTAAATATCCGTCTAATATTCTTATATTTTCGTACACTTTTCTTATTTAATGGAGTGTCACAGACATGCATGTGCACAATTATGTGTCAACTATACGGAGAAAGAAGGACTGTTGTTGACATCACCTTTACTTAGTTCCCATTTAACATTCTATGGTGTTTCCCTCTAGATACTGTCCACCAAGCTGCCTCACTGCAAAGAGAATGTGTGTCTGGCATATGGGGAGGAATGGTCGGTGTACGCTGTGGGTTCTCAGGCCCATGTGTCCTTTCTGGATCCACGGCAGCCTACACACAGCATCAAGTCTGTCAATTCAAGAGAGAGAGGAAGTGGTGAGTAATCCGTAAACTTATGGAAGGAAAAAAAAAAAGAAGCTACAGCAATGGCAGAAGCGGAGGGCTGATTACCTCCCGAAACTACGTCATGACAATGTTTAAATACTGCCGTTTACTTTTGAGTATCTATGCATTCGAGACTTCTTTTGTCTGTGCAGGGATCCGTTCAGTGAGTTTCTACGAGCACATTGTGACAGTGGGCACCGGTCAAGGTTCCCTTCTCTTCTACGACATCCGGGCCCAGAGATTTCTAGAGAACCCTTTAAATCCAGGCGGAGGGTACCGGAAGTTCCCAGGAGATGGCATCCTCAAACTCTCGACAGGGAAAGGCTGGCTGGTACACATTATTTGCCTATTTGCCTTTGATAATAAACATATAAGTGCTTAGCTTGAGTTGACCTCACACAGATGTTGTAGCATTGTTGTCATAGATTTAGTTTTCACTACTTTTCACTTCCTTCTCTCCTCTCCTGCTCTCCCAACTCTCAGAATCACGATGAGACGTGGAGGAGTTACTTCTCAGACATTCATTCCTTCCCCAACGCGGTGTACACCCACTGCTACGACGACTCTGGCACCAAGCTGTTCGTAGCAGGTGGACCACTCTGTTCTGGCCTGCACGGCAACTACGCAGGACTGTGGAGCTAGCCTCTCCGTCTCCTCCGTCACTCTATCACTACATCCTCGTCCAGACTTTTTCCCCTAACCAGTCCCTCCGTCCCTCTCCCTCTTCAAGTCCGTTGACATCACTGTCTTTGGTATTCCTCTTGCTCATTGAAGTGTCACTCTGTTTTGCTCACATGTGGACTCAGGAGCATGATCTTGCCCCCACAGTATCACAGCTTTGAATATTGTCGTTGTGTATGTTAGTGTCCTCATATTCCTCTATCCCTTTCTCTCCCAATTATTCCTTTTTCTCCTTCCACATCAACTACTTAGTTTTTTGTATTGAAATGTGTACAAACAATGAACTAGTCATCTTTAAACGCTGCAAAGTCTGCCACTGAGGGACTCTGAAGAGTTTTGAGAAACATCTAGACTAAAGTAGTACATGTTTTCAGAATTTAAAATGTCCAACCCGCAGGGATTAGGCTATGGTATTTCGCTGGCTTGTTTTTTTGTATGCAAGGACAGTGTTTACTGCTGCTTCCTCGGTGGTAAAAGACGGTGTCTTTGTGGAATACCTGTGGAATTTTTCTTCCAAAAGTTCCTTTTCATTCTCTCACTAAAATGGACGGCAATAACAGAGAGGGAGAGAGGAAGAAGAATGACTGAAGAGACAGTTAATGTCGAAGGACTGAGCCGGAGTGCGGTTTGACATTCGATAGAGAATACTTACTAGTCGGAGCAGCCCGTCCTGTCCCACAACAATCACAAAGAACTTCTCTCTTCTCCACGCAGAAGTAAAAGCAAAGAAGCCAATCAAAATGGAACTTTGTGTTCATATTTGTTCTTACCGAGATGATGTAAAGGTGAAACATAAAGATTGCTAAATGCAGTGTTGTTCTGCTATTAATTAATCCCAACAAATGCTTATTTTACTTTTTTGTGTGTGACTTGACAGGCGTACCCCTGCTGATATTCTAATTTTCATTGTTTGTATTTATTTTCCCGTTTCTCCGTCACCTTTATTCAGTTAAGCAGCTATAAACACCCCTGGTGTTTATAGCTGCTTCTTTTGAAGGATGTATTGTCTCTTTGACCTTTTGCATATGTTCCTGTTCTCTTTGACCAGAATACTTTGAGCAGATTTGACCATTAGTGGTGTTCAAATTCTGATCTGTTATTGTTACAATTGAACCCACGGTTTTAAGTTTTGGTAGCAAATACAAATATGATTACTGATAGATTGAGGAGCCTTTAATGTTGAGGTTAAATCCCTCCCATTTATTCTGGGATTCCTCCACAGGAACTAGGGAGAAGATCTGTGGTAGTCCACTTTGATCTTCTCAGTCATCCAGCAAGAAGGATGCAAGGAGAACTATTGAGGGTTTTTGGACTCTACCCTGGAGTAAGATGCTGCAGGCACATACATTTATTGTCACCGTTGTAAAACTTTATTCTTTTTTGTACCAAGGAGTGAGTGATTCTGCTTTTTTCCTTGTTTGGTAGAGGCAGGCTTGACTTATGTTTTTGCCTTCCTCTGGTCTTTCTGTGAAAGACTGCCGCAGGCGATCATAGCTTTTCCTTTTCTACATGGAACTTTTCTGTAGTTTTCATGATAATGACATATTGAAAAGAGAAACCCCAATTACGACCACAATTTGAACAAATAAACCAACACTTTTAAAGTGTATTTTATATATAAATGTGTATATGTATGTGTAAAATACATTGGGACAGTTGCATACATTTTTATGTATATGTCTGAGGAGGTGTGTGGATTGATCTGTCTACTTGGTGATGCCCTGTTTTTTTTATACATGCCTCGTGAATGTTTTTACAAATGACTGAATCTGAGGATATTGTAAGATATAAACATCTGAAAAAAACAAGCTATTAAATCTTTAAAAAAAAAAGTAAATAAAAAAGTAAATGTATATTGATGTAACGTTTCTTTTTTCATGCTTGACCATCATTTATTCTTGAATTAAAATGGTTCACTGCTAAATCTAGATGTTGCCATTCATGATGTATAACCATATAAAATAAAGTAATCCTTTATTATATGGGAGCTTTCAGGACAGGAAGGTCTCTGTGGTAGACCAGTCTGCATTGTTGTCATATGCTGTAGAAATACGCATCTCCAATGAACACAACAGAGTATATATATATATATATATTAGCAGT